AACTTCAAAGAGAGGAATAAACTGACCCACTGGTGGGGAAATGGAATGATGATAACACCATACATCAGTGGCATCACAAAGAGGGGGGGCGGACCGCCCCGGGTGCAGCGCTCAGAGGGGGTGTCGCGGCGGGCCACGAGAGGGCAAGGGGGGGGGGATAGGAGGAGGTGTCACGGCGGGCTACTGCCCAGGTGTTACTGACCCTAGTGATGCCACTGCCATACACACCGTCGACCAGGTGACAAAGGTTGTCACGAGCTTGGAGAATACTAAGCTGACGAGTCGTAACTCCAACATTCAACAAAAATCAGCAATGCAAAAATGTGCACAATCTCACTCACTTGCACTCACCAGATCTTTGTGTCATGAATTGGAGGTTTGCTAAGAACTGCAAAAGAGGACAAGCCACACCAGCCAATTCTGGTAAAGACAGGCACCATAACAGAACTGCGAAAACGCTGCTGGCCACTGACAAAACTACAGCTCAGCAAAACATTTATAAGGTGATGCAACGCCTGGGTAGAGACGATGATGTGAACTGGTCAAGTTTGAGAAGCTTTAGACAGTAATGAGTAATTGTGCTTTATATCACTGACGAGTACATAGGCATAGACTACGGGGGGCATCGGGGCTTGTGCCCCCCCAGGTGACATTAGGGGGGGGGGGGGGGTTGGGGGGGCAGAGCTCTCTCCTGGGCCATGATCCTTACCGAGACGCTGTTTACGTGTCATGTAACAAGCTTCTAGTAGTGGTATGTAAACAAAATAACGCACAAAGCGACGGACACATGGCGATATACATATGCTGTAAAATGTACCTTCTAAAATAAACTACTGATAATTGCCGGTGTAAAAAAATTGCGCAAAAAAGCACCCCCTTCAGAGAACTTCTCAGCCTGCCCCTCCCGGGAAAATGGAAAGTCTACGCCGCTGGACGAGTAGGCAGATGTTTTAAAAGACTGGTGAACTGCTGTAACTCTAAACACTGTTATGAATGAGCATTTACTAGAACAATCATTTAGGGGGCTGTCTGTTGCAGAACGAAGTAGTTTTCCGAAAGCATAAGAGTATTCACTTCAGCTAGTTGGCGACAGATTGGTGATGCATATATGTTTTGTCCTGTTTGATCAATTCAGATTAAACTTCAGTTGCAAGTGCGCTCTTGATGTGTGCATCTTGTTTTACTGGTCCTGGTTCTTTTAGCGCTTTTAATCACCAATATTTTCCGAAGGCATCTCAGAGTGTCGCAAGAGAGGAGAAAGAATTTTACAGAACAAGCTTTTTGCGAGCGATTATGACGAGGGCATCCGCAACTGCATCACTGCAAGTCATGAGAGAAAGATTCATAGAGGGTCATCATACATTGAGGCTTTGCACACATGCTTCAAATAAAATACCTTATCAAATGAAGAGACACTTAATGACTAGAACCCAAACCAAGGTTTATTCTGAGGTGAAAGACGTTGCCGAGGGCAAAAGGCTGAAAGAGAAATCCAGTATAGCTTCCTTCAATCCTTTTGTCAACTCTACCAAACTTTTGAGGATTGGTGGACGACCTCAGGCAAAATGAAAAAATCCATGTGATGCACCCACTACAGCTTCTTCCTCAGCATCCGCTCACCGAGTTGCTTGTGCACGACTCCCATTTACGAACTCTTGACAGCCACTTCTGGGGCACCAAAGAAGGACATTTCCCGTCTTGTTTGGTGCTCCAAGCGGTTGAACCCCTCCTTTTAGTAGGCGGCGCCACGAGTGCCTTATTCAATTGCAACATGCACACAAGTTGCCAAGCCGTCAGCCGAGCACACCACGAGTGGGAGTCACAGCAGAGATGGAATTGCAAGGTCATGCCCAGCCAGGCGACCGAATGGACAAGTGATAGAACAACCTGTGCAACTCTTATACCCATGCAACACGGGCGACTCGAATGCCATTTACAACGAATGACATTTGTGTGATCGGCGAATCAGCTTGCAATCTGTCGGCTCGTGGAATGCGCTACGCCCGGAGTGTTGCGCCCTGATTAGCCGTCCGCTCTAATGTCATTTGTTGTAAATGGCATTTGAGTTGCCCGTGTGGCACAGTTGTAATTCCCTATAAAACTCATAAAATGAAGGAATAATGTTTACTGAATTCATTTTGGGGGGAGCATGTTGTAGGTTGTTGGGGTCTTTGTGGTTGCACAGTGTGTCGTGAGAAGTATGAAGATCGACGGATAGCCAGAGTGCGAGTACACACCAACCACCTTCCTGCTACATGTGTATCCCGCAGTTGCATTAAATAGAAGCTAGAGAAATGACGATTCTGCCAATACTGCCCATGTTGCTGTAAACACCCACCACTACCTTTGAAATGTTTAAAAGGCAAAATACATTTTAGGAGCCCACTTTAGACTTTGGAGCCCACCTAGCTAACCGAGACGCTGCTCCTTGCCAGCTGCTTCTCCAAGCACCTTGATGCAAAGTGGTGAAGCCCACCCTAACAAGTGCCTCTTCTGCATTTTTGCTCTTAGACAAGCACCCACCCCCTGCTTTACAAGCGACCTCAAATTTTGGGTGGCCACCAGGCACGTAGCCAGGGGGGGGGGGGGGGGCCCACAGGGCCGGGAACCCCCCCCCCCCCCCCCCCCGAAATCTTCTATTTTGCTGGGGCCTCTTCTCCCCCGTCCCCCTCACACAGCATTTTGTCATGGGCGGGCCCCCCCCCCCCCCCCCCCCCCCCCAACACAAAATCCTGGCTATGTGCCTGATTATGATTAAATGCAAGGGTGCAAGCGAGCAGGACAAGAATGACAAACTTTCATTTGTCCCCCTTGTTCCCCTTCTCCAGGGATTATTTTCGTCTATGTGCCTGGTGGCCACTTCATTCATATTCTATAGTAAAATATTTAGTATGCATCTTAGAGCAGTACTGCACACCTACTACATTCTAGACCCAATTGCTTAGTTGCCAGATGGTTGCTCTTTTATACGGTGGTTGCGCATTCCCTGTGATAGCACTGCCCCGAGCACTGCCATTCGTTAAATGGCACGGGCACATAATTATTCGGAGTTTATCGGATAAATCCGAATTGACAAAAACTTTACCGGCGGGTGCTTTTCGGAGTTTTTCGGATTTATCCAAAAACACGGAGCCCTATTTATAAGTGGGGCTCCATGTTTTCGGAGTTTATTTTTCGTGAAATTCGGAGGGTGTTTTTCGAAGTTTATTTTTTAGCAAAAGTTTGGTGTTTATTTTTCGTAAATCCCAATTCTCCGAAATTCTGAGTTTAATTTTGCAGTGTTTCCTATTAAAAAATAATAAATAATAACCGGATGCAAACGTATGCCAGATAAAAAATAAAAAGCGCTTGTATCAATTAAGATTTCTTCAGTTGAATTTGGCATTGGTGTCAATGGCAATACTAATTTGTGCCACGACAAAAGTTGCACACAAGTGTGGCTTCAATAAACGCCAATATCTTAAAATCAATAAACTGCCGGAGGTAGCCGCAAGGAAGCTCGTAGTCATCCCATCAATCTATCCCGCGGCCGCGCGAGGTGGAGTGGTTAAGGATGTAATAGAGAAGTTTCAACTGCCCCTCTTCCCTATTTTATACAATCTCTATGGTCCGTAGCTTTCACCGTTACCCCCAGAAACATACCCTCTCCTTTCTCTAAATCCCAAATGCCATGGCCCAAACTGGGAACCAAAAGAGTGGCTTTTGTCGTGACACGAATGGGATGATGACCTGTCTCCGTGAACCAACTTTGACGAAACAAGCCGTAAGACCCCCTTTTGACAACGGTCCGAGGCTTGAAAGATAACTATGGTGACATTTTCCCAGTACCAATCATCCTGCACTGCTCAAATTGCAAAAAAAAAAAAAAAACATTTTTTGCTGTGGGAAGGGGAGGGGGGGGGTGTGGCATGGGCACATAACAATTTAGAGTTTATCGGATAAATCCAAATTGACAAAAATTTTACCGGCGGGTGTTTTTTGGAGTTCTTTGGATTTATCCGAAAACACGGAGCCCTATTTATAAGGCATAATAATTGTCCACAAGGTGAATTTTCACGATCAGAAATCTCCACACATAAAACGCCATTGATGCACATAATTAAATTACCTTGACAATTTTAATATGCTTTCGATGCTAAGAAGTGGTGTCACAAAAGTGGGAAGGCAAAAAGCAATGTAACAAATCTTGACGTAGCATTTGCAGTGGAATGAATGGGAATGAAGAGCATGCTTGTCCCGCAAAAGTGTTTTTTCCTGCTCCAAATTGGGCTTTTGGCAGCTCAAAAAATTACTCAATCTCATCACTGCACATATCACCAGAAAGATTTGGAAATCTTTCATGCATACACATATTTATAAAAAAAAAATTAAAGATATAACGATTAAAAAAAAAAAAAAGTAAAAAACATCAATTTTTATACGGATGTATGCAGCCCCAAGTGTATACATACTCCTTCTCTGTTGTGATAGCCTAATGTCCATGGTCTGCGGAAAACAAAGGCACTATTGATGCACCTAGTGATCACTTAGAAAGAGTAAAACCGGTCACACTATTCATCCCGAAAGAGAAGCATCTGTTCCGCAATAAGTTTATCGACAGTTTTGTTTCTTTGTTTTTGTTTGGTGTTGTCCAGAGAAAAGGGGGATAGCAAGAGAGGCATGGGCTCCTTTAGTGGCTAGCTCGGCCAAGTCACTATCCAGCCAGTGGATGCTAAACTGAGCCACAACAGTGTTAGTCAATCATTTCGAATTAGCTGACATGCATCAACATGAAAGTGCAGTTGAACCTCGAGTTAACGAAACCCAATTTTACGAATTTCCCGATTTAACGAACAAATTCGAATTCCCCGCGCAGCCTATGCACAAAATATGTCTTTCTCGATTGTATGAAGTTCTTAAATCAACGGAATAATTAGCAGGTCCCGGTGACCTCATTAAATTGAGGTTCAACTGTAAAAGGAAAAGCAAGCAAAACTACCAGACAGAGTAAAACACTCAAATTCTAACAAGTCATGCCAGTTTTTTTTTTTTATTGTGTTTTGTGAACACTGCACTGGTTTGATCTCCCGGGTTGTACTTATAAAAGACAGTCAACTCTAGGTGTGAGGACACAGGATGGCACCATCACCTTCTCTTTACCCACCATGAGTTGCATTTGTGCATGCTATGTACACCCCCCTCTGACATCCCTGCTAGATACAAGAACTGTAGCTACATCCTGAACACCCCGAAGTGGGTCTGGTCAATCTCCGCATTGAGAGCCGCACTTAGGCTGAGGCCCAGTACTTTGCGCGTGTCCACTGGGTCGATCACGCCGTCGTCCCAGATCCTGCACAGAAAAACGAGGCAACTTAAGAGTGCCGCCACGAAAGCTGCTGGAACGCGTTTTTTTACAAAAATGCTACGAGAAGTGCGTAATCAAAGAAGTCGCCCCTTTGCCGTACTAGCGTGGCAAAGGCAGTGGTAATGCAGGAACAACTGGAATGCGGGCTTTACCGGGCAGAGCACTGCCATCAACTCGCGGCAACCCATTCCAACAAAAAGTTTTTTTTGTTTTTTTTTACATTGGAGCTGTTAAGGGCTAGGTTTCCCAGGATCGTGTCCGGTACCAAACAAATGTCATAACAACACTCTGGTTGCCGCCGTCGCTCATAGATGGCGGTAGCTGTCCAGAGAGTTGTGTTTGCCGGTTGTCTGCTTGCCGTCATCGCTCATAGATTGCAGCAACCTTTCTAGCCTTTCCACTCTGGCTTAAAAACTTGCGGTCGGCCATTACTTCATTCCCGCCATAGTACAGCTTCGCTAGTCTTCCTTCTTCACCAGGGTGGAAAGGCTGGAAGTTTTCTTTTTCTCTGCTTTTCTGTTGCTTTCTTTCACTCTCTTTCTCTGCGGAGGCCCAGAATGCACTCGTTTCAAGGACCAGAGTACTGCTCTATGTCTCACTCGAGGAAGAGGCACAGCTGGCACCAGTGTCCAATCGGTGAAGAGACGAGCGCTGCGTCGGTGTTCGGCTAGCAGTCAACCTGTCGACTTCCGTAGCTGGCACCTAACTAGTTACGGTTAGGTGCCAGCAGTACGGCAAAACAAAAAAAAACTCTAGCCTCCAGTTTGTTATGTAGCACTGCACAATATGATGATACTATAACCTGCAATACAAGTGAAAAGAAAAGCAAAATCGGTTTTCATTAGGGAATACCAGTACGTATACAAGGTGCTTCACAAAACGCCAAATGTTTTCCTTAAAAAAAAAAATGCATCACACAGAGAAACTATTTTGTGTTAGCCACTGGCAAGGAAAATCACAATGTCTACTCTGCAACTGTCACTTCCTTGCAGTGCCCTAGTAGGCTGCAAGTGCTCTCAACACAGCCAGCTAAACCACCTGAACAAACAAACAATTAGAAATACTGTCAGAGTTCAATACAAAGATCAAATTGAATAGCAAGTTATTTAAAGTGATAATCAAAAGTCTCGAAAATTCGCCCAAGTTTACCGTAATGACCCGACACTGTTTAAGGCCTGAGCCTATATGGTTCACCATTCATAAAAAAGAAATTAATCTTGGGCACAAAGTAGGTGCCCATTTCTCACATGTTAGTGAAATGCAGAATGATATAGATGGCACAGAAGTCACATTACTGCATAATTTTACATTAAAGCTGCATTGTTTCTAAAGAAAAGAAGGTGCCCTTAAATGTTTTAAGATATTCTATGTCAATGCTAGAAACACCTTCCATATTTCAATTTGCAAAAAAAAAAAAAAAAAAAAAAAAACACCTCACGCCTTTGGGTAGTGCTGCTTTGCAACTAATCAAGACTCACCTTGCACTGGAATAGTAGGGGCTCCCTTCGTTTTCATACTTCTCGATGATTGGGTCCTTTATAGCCTTCTCGTCAGCTTCGGTCCACTGCAATACACCAGGTTGCCATGAACAACTGCCTTCTTACACCCTTTTGCAATCATGCAACATAAGTCTTATAAAGCAACACAAAACAGCTTTTAAAGCGAATTTGGCCGCATGGGACTTTTGCTTACCCTACCTTTCCTTCCTTTTAGGCACAGGTTCTTGCCTTCTCCTTTACCTCGACTCATAACGCATTCCATTAAGATCTCGTCAGGTTGCTATACATCCACAAATACACTTCGTAAAACGATGGCCGTGAACGGCTGGTACTGAAATGAAGACAGTGTTTCTGTCCCTGTCTTACTGGCTTTTTCTCCCTTTCCCTCTGGTCCTTGGCAATGGTGGCCAGGACATTGGCTGCCTGCTCTCCGCCCATGACCGAGATCCGGGAATTGGGCCACATAAACAGGAACCGGGGCCTGCAAGGGTTGGCGTGCTACTTAAAGGGGCGATGCAACAATTTTTATTAACTTTCAGTAAATGGCACTTTAAATTATTCCTCGACATTTATAGCCTGTGAAACAAATGTTTGTTTTTCTCACCACACAATGTCAGTCGCAGAAAAAATTTGAGGAAAACATGGCAGCACTAGACACATGCAGCACTGAGGATGATCGGCGAGTCGAGGAATTGGACAAAGTTCTCTTTTTTAGGCGCCCAACGACCTCTCAGACTTTGAAAAGGAAATCAACCAAATAAATGGTCAAAACAACTGGGTTTGGTGTCTGTGCACTGCAGTTTCAGTTGTGACTCCGCCAGGGCAGCCTTTGACGCAGAACCGGTGCAACGTGGCCCCTCACGTCGCTCACAAAAATCCACAGCGCGTTCTCTTTGACCTCACAGCTTTTCAAAGAATTTGAGATTGCTGCGTCGTTTGCTCACAGCGTCAGACATCACGCACGGAGAAGAGCGGCTGATCGCCAGACGCCGGCGAACACGACTCTTCGGGTCGGGACGGAGGCGCGAGAAACTCAATCATTGACGTCACTGCACTGGCGCGAATCGTGCAGGAACTTCATATTCAGCTTTTGGAAATCGTTTCTTTACTTCACAAATACCGAGTTCCCAAGTTTTGAGTTTTGAGGGTGATGTCCAGGCATCATTTTCATTTGTTTCGGATAATAAAAGAAAACATGCTGTTGATCTGTCAGTGCTCCATTAAGGTTCTAGAAGCTCTAAGGCTCATGTTTATGTTCATTTGTTCACGCCCACCAACAGCAATGTGTCTTCGATGGTGCATCACAACACAGATGAAAAAGAAACACACACACATCAAACACTATAAACACAAGTTCATAAAGCTCCTTGTGTGTAATAGAGTAGTACAGTATAGACCACTTACAACGTAACCGATTATAGTGCAGGACCAGGTATAACGCGGCTTTTTTAAACCACCGGTTCGCCTCCCATAGAACTCTATGTAATTACATACCGCTTAAGATGCAGGTGCGCGAAGGTAAATACCGGTTATAGTTCGGTTTCTGGAACAGCCTACCGACCGCGCCGACTGACCGGCGTAGCGAGCACGCTTCCCCATGCGACACTAGATAACGGCGTCAGCCGGCCGCAAGCGGCACTCGCGGGGCAAGGAGGTTCTCGAAGAAGCGGGGAGAAGCGAAGAGAGAGGCTTCAGTTGCCATAGCGACGGAGGGACGCACGCATGTGTCGTTCATGTGCGTGCGTCCCTCCACTGCGTTGGAAACAACCGCAACGACAAACCAATCGCAGATCGAGGAGAAGTGTTCGCGCGCGTTGCATGCCGGTCGCGGGCCAGTGCTTCTATCCGCAAACATGGCGTTGGCTGTGATCGTCGACGTAGACGGCGTGGTGGAAGCTCATCGTTCCGCATAAAAGTACTATCCTTGAGTGAATTTTCGTTGTGTGTCGCTATGATAACCCAGCACGTACTAGAAGGGAAGATCCACCTACTCGTGCGGCGATGTTGTGGCGGCACTCTCAAGACGGCAAAAACGCCCGTGTCATCGTGTTTGTTTACTTCGACTACAGTGGTGCTTTCTAAGCACTTGTGTTTTCGAACATCGTTTGGATTTCTTATTTGGAGCATTTCATGCCTGTGCTCAAGTTGAAGGTATTACTGATGCGTACCGTATAAAGGATGCAAATTTTCACGCGTTTTCATCGCCGGAGTAAAGTGATTAGGGTTAGCAATTCTGAACGCTTGCAACGTCCGTCCGCAACCCGCGAAGCCGTTAAAAGGCTGCGCCAGGCAAAAGTCACTCATTTTTTTCAAAATGCGAGACACACTTGAGAGAGAAGTGTACTAGTCTGGTGAAATAAAAGCTTTCCTCAAACTAAGCTTTATTTTTCATCTAACATAAAATAAGTTCTTTTACAAAGGTAAGTTGTCTGATGGCATGTATTTTGGCCTGAAAAATTGATGTTTTGGTTATAGCGCGGTACCGCTTATAGTGCGGATTTTCGCAAATCCCGCGACATACGTTATATGCGGTCTACACTGTATTTTGCAGTGCTCTACAGCAATACGAGGTACTACCATACCCCACTTGCAAGGAGGTGGTTCTTCAGAAGGTATTAGCACCGCAGTCTATAGAAGGTTAAGGAGCTTATAGAATGTGACAATGTGAGGGCCTCTTTTAGGTACTGTGGTGCCTCAATTTTTCAAATGCAGGGGGCAACAGTTTGACCAGAGAAGTATGACTGCTTACTCGAGATGTTCAATACGCATCATGGAGTAGGGCGACTACAATAAAGTGCACTAGGGTAATACCTGTTCAAGCCGGTAGATTGGTCAAAGGCACATTTGAGTAATCCTGCCAAAACCTCAATCTTTAGGAGGTCAGTTGGAAGAGAGAGAGGAACCAAGGAAACAACTTTGCTTTCCACTGTAATGAGGCAAGACTGGAAATAATGTCTTGGTGTTGTAGTGCACAGAGGATAGTACTAGTACATTTGAAAGCTACATTGCTGATAGTGCTACATTTGAATACTCTAGAAAGATGCCATAAATGTGAAGGCACTCAATGCTGCACATTAGTACAATTGGGCCTTTTTTTTTTCATTCATGCAGTACTCTAAGGTTTTCAAATTTTTAATACTAGCATGCTGTCAGAGGGGTTAGGGAAATTTGTGCTTTCAGCAGAAATTGGTCATTGATATGGCTTGCTGAAATCCCGTCTCGTATCGGACATGTCACGATATACAGGGTGTTTCTTGCAACACTGGCCAAATCGTTCCTGTGTAAAGTATGCGTTCCACAAAAAAAAAAGGTTAATGACATATTGGAGAATTAATGATGTTCAGCATATATACTTTGCTAATTATCTTTTAAGAAACTAAATTTTTAAATGGTAAATTTAAAGGTATGGTTTCAGTTAGAAAATTACTGGGCATCGTTGAAAGTCACTAAATCGACTCACTTTGGAAAAATATAATTTTAAGGCATTCCAAAAAAAGACAAAAAAACCCCACTCAATTTGGGTGCGTTTGTAGGTTTCGGTTTCCTCTCAGAGCACACCTTTCCACCAGCGGTCTTGCTCCCCATGGCCAAAGCACAGAACTAAAGTGCGCCGCGATGTCTTCTTTGCATGACTGAAGCAAACCCAAGAATCAATGCTTATTCTTGCAATGCCATTCGTCTAGAACATTGTTTGATTTTGCAGGTGAGCACCATTTTGTTTTTTTCTACGAGGGAGCCGAGGTAGTGGTTGCGCGCTTTGGCCATGGGAAGGAGAACCACTGGCACGGAAGTGCATTTTAATAGGAAAGCAAAACTTAAAAATGTGTCCAAATCGAATGTTTTTTCAGAATGCCGTAAAATGCTGCACATGTCTTAGTGTGAGCGGGCCGACTTAGTAGTATTTGATGACAGGCAGAAAGATTCTAATTGAAATTATACCTCTAAGTATATTAGTTAAAAGGTTAATTGCTCAAAAGAAATTAGTAAACTAAATACACCGAACATTACTCGTTTTCCCATATTTTTCTTTTGGCAGGGATCAATACGACCTTAAACATCTTGCTGTGTGCAATGCATACTCTTCGCAGGAACAATTTGGTCGGCATTTCAAGAAACACCCTGTACAATGAAGCTGCTGCAGAAAGCAAGGCTTTCCAGAAAGCACCGAGACTTCAAAGCACTGGCCCCAACTCACGAATAAGCACGGCCACACATCCCGTAGTTTCCAGCACCGTAGGAGCCCCCAATCAGCACAGTGAACTTGGGAACTTTGGCACAGGCCACGGCCATCACCAACTTGGCACCATGCTTGGCGATGCCGCCTGCTTCGGCATCCCGGCCCACCATGAAACCTGTAAGGATGCTCGTGATGCAGCAGGTACTGCAACCAGCTACAAATCGCATCGGGCACGCTCGCCGCCACACTCCTTTTTTGTGTCCTTGTGTTTTGGTAGAAGTGCAAATGCTCTACTAGGGTGCCTTTGGAGAAGGAAAAAATGTTCTGTGCCAACTAAGGTTGTGCCAGTGTGCAAATTTTCTAACAGAAGTTTCGAATAATTCGCTATTCAGTGGGGCAATGCAAATATTCAAATTTTCAAGTAGTAGTTGCGAATAATACGCTGTTCGATATTCGCTTTGAGATGAACTGTGATATTCTTATTTTTCGAAGTGGGCTAACCTGCCGCGATCAACACTTTGAAAGGTATGAATACTGCAGTCGCAAGCTCCGGAGGAAACCCTGCATTCCCACCGCATCGCAAAAATTAGGCCCCCGCAAATTATTCCAAAACTTCAGCCTTGACCTAAATTGCGAAATATTGAGCCTGCGAAAAATAAGTTGTTTACAATAAATGTAATAATGTTTTTTTTTTTTTTTTTAATTTAACTTAATATTAGTGCAAAAAGCAAATTTTGAGTTCGAAGCAAGTTCAAAGTGAACAGTGATTTTAGTCGACTATCGAACAGTTTCTCCAAGCCTTTTACTGCTGTGCATAATGCTTAAACAAAAATTCAGATGAACTTGTTAAAATTGTTACCAACCTTTTACCTGTCCAATTCTAAGCTCAGTTCAATTTAACATAACTATGTACATTTATAAGTGTGAACAACAAATTTGTTGGAGCTATCCTAATCGAGGGAATTCATAGACGTGAGTGCTCTATGCAAACATATTTCCTTAAATTTAAAATTTTACAACGTAAATAATCAAGCACAAATGATGAATGAAGGTTATCAAGACAGTGCTACCCAACATATATTCCTAGCATAATTGCAGCGAGTTAGCCGCGTTGAGTGCGCTTCTCACAGAGCACCTGTGCACTGCAGCGAAGCAATGCCGTAAGAGCCAGCGAGCTCCGCGGGTATTGCTTCCCCGCAGTGCACAGGTGCTCAGTAAGAAGTGCACTAAACGGAACTAACTCACTGCAATCAACTTCGAAAGGTAGGAATATTGCAGTTTATCGGCGAAGTGAATATCCACTAGCGTATTAATCAAAACTACTATTTGAAAACTCGAATATTCGCACAACCCTTCTTAAGGCCATTATTTGTACACCACATATTGACTACAACAATATCAGTTTTAATCAATATTGGCATGTTTTGAATATTCACACATGTTTGCGAAAACCGTGATATTATGACAGTATTCACTGGGGCATGTGGATGTTTCTCAGTTTAATCCCCCGTTTTCACCTCACTTTATTGATGTGATTTCTGTTATAAAGAAAGCTTTGACTTTTCATGAATTCTCAAACTGGGTTTTCAAGAATTCAGGGGTTTTCCGAGTACCTTTCAGTGTTCCCCTAAGCGACGAAATTCTGTCAATCGTGCCTGCCGTAGGTGAAGTGTTTTTTTCCCAGTTTACGCAGTCGCCTAGCATGTCTAACCCATGCAGCGACGCACAGCTATCAGCCAAACACGCCTTACTGTGCGCATTATTGTTAGCAAAGTCTGTAGACCTCTATACTACTTAAGTGTAACAATTCCAAGGGGGGCAAGGTTCCCTCGCTGCCATTCGAAGCAGACAGGCATTCCTTAAAATGAAAAACAAAAATTGAAAAGCACTGAAATAATGCTATTATAAATGACATTATGTTGACAAAGTTTAACATTTTCGCCAGTATGATGACTATGCAAGGACTCTAGTAGAACAAGCTGCTATGTCTGGACAACTGTTGTGATACAAATTCTTTTCACGCTAAATGGTCGCTGCTCCCAATTTGTCCTAAACCCCGAAAGGTAAAAAATTATGAGCATACCAGTGATGTTCTGAAGGAATATAAGTGGAATGTTTCTCTGACAACAGAGTTCAATGAAATGGGCACCCTGGAAAGCAGAAGATTGCACGTTTTATACTTTTGCACGTAGGCCGCGACCATGCAAGATATACGCACATTACCACTTGTTTCCACAAGACAGGATTCACTTATGTAATCATTACTTCTGCACATATCGGAAGCGTGTTGCTTGGAATGAAGCAAGTGACACGAGAGGAATAACTGTAGCAGCAAGCGCTAACACGTGCTCGAACAGAACTTTGTGTCATTTTTGTTTAAAACAGAAAGCGTTGAAAGGCTGGTTTTTGAAGTCTTGAGTGTCATAAAAAGTTGGTACGGAAACGTGATATCACAACTGTCCCTCACCAGTAATCGAACTACGGATCTCTCGATCCGATGTGTGCAAATGTGCAGCAGAGTGAACATCTGCACTCGTTGGATCACAGATGTGTGCAGCGGAGCAGCTGGGACGAGTGTCGTTGCAGCTGCTATGCACCCGCATTTCAGCAAAACAATTGTTGCTTCAATGTGGAAAAGGGTCAAGGGACGTCACATGATTGTGTAATCACTACACGTTATGCCATCGTGTAAGCCACGGATTCTCAAACTGGGACCCTAGCAAACCCGGGGGTTCCCCTGAGCACCTTCACGAGTTCACCGAGATCCATAATTTTAATGGCCTTTCCTGCTCTCGAGGGATGTGCATAACTGTGTGTCCAACAGTTTATGGCACGTGCGTTACTGTTTACAAGGACTGTAGGCTTCTACAACGCTTTACCGGATCAATGCCGAGACCGGGAGGAGTTTCTCGGCAAGCAATCGAGGGAGGTGCTTTCCGACATCGAAAAGCTAGAGAATCACCAGCGCGAGCCACACCTCGTTGTGCAACGTCGCGTGACGTGATGCCCTGTCGTCATGTGACTGATGCGATGCCGTGGTGTCACGTGAAATTATTTCACGCGTGTGTGATTTCCCATGGTTTATAGTTCACGACCATGTGATCCATATCACGACTTCGCTCATAGTGATGCCAACCACGTGATTGTGTGACCCATAGTCGCCGATGAAGTAGGGAATTGCAAGCTGCCCCAGCTACTTCTCAAGGGACACTGAACTGCAAAAACTTTTTTTCAAGACCTGCCTTTTTTTTTCCAAAAAATTAAAACTTTTAGTGTGATATTTATGCAGTGAGACTCCTTTTACCTGATGCATTTTTACAAAACATGCTTCTGTTTCGGCACGTTGAACAGAAATAGAAACATATTTCAGAAACGCTCAAATGTGCCCTATCCAAGCACTGAAAAAACAAGCTTTTTGGGAGTTCACTTTTCTGTCAGGAGCAGCTATGGCAGCTCATCGTAGCTAGTCAATCACAAAATGCTAAACTTACCCAGATACTTTGCATAAAGCTGATAGGCACAAAGCGCAACATGCATTTGTGTCAGCATCCCCAACAGATTTCCCCAAAAGCCAAACAGTCAAAACAAATTCAAATAGGTTCGAACAGGTCGACAAAAGTATGTATTTTGCATCAATCAGCCCTGTGCAAAAGGTCGAGGTAACTTTCATAACTTTGTTTATGAAGCTCGCAGCACGAGTGCTACATCAAATTTAAAATGCAGCTGTACAGTGAATAGAGTTTGATCCATATGAATAGAGTTTGATCCGAGACTCTCGTGTCGTTGGACGCTCCCCAGAATAACAAACAATGACACAAACTGTTATATGATTATGAAGCTGTGGCACATACCTTCTGAGCTGATTCGGAAAATAAGACTCCATTGTTCCCAATGATACCAACTGGAAAACCATATAGCCTGGCAAACCCTGAGAAATAAATGAGTTGAAGTTACCAAAGAGTTAAACTGAGTTTCCAATTTGACTCACCAGTGACGAGTGTTTCGCCATACAGGGCTTTGAACTCATCGAATCTGCTGCCATCAACCACCCTGGCAATAACCTATAACAAAATAAAAGGGATGGTTTAGTTTCAACATTTTAATAGCCCAATCTTCTTCCTATGAAGGGCAGATAATCCATTTTAAAGAAAACCTTCAGACAAGCCTTATATACTGGCCTAATCTGTGGTCAAGAAGTCTCAAATCAAGATATTGAATGGCGCACCATTGCCACTAACGCAATTTTCAGGGCCTCAGTTGTGCACTGCAAGGAAATGGGACTATGCGGAGCGGGAAGCAGAAAGTCACGAGAGAATGCAGTTATTACTATAGAGATTTTCCTATGTAAAAGCAGCACTAACTTTAAATCACCAAAATTCAAGAAGGTAATAACCATGTCTGCACCTTTCTATTACACCAGACTTCAATTGAAAGGTAATGTAATTGGGTAAACATGTAAAGTCAAGGACAAAATTTTCCGGACCACAAGAGCTGTTACCGATATGCATCGCTGTGCTTCTTAATAGTGTGGCGCCTGCTGTTGAGACTGGTGCTTGATGCGTGCATATCTTTACTGCAGAATCCTCCCTCCACTGATTCACAGGCATGGCTGCTTGCGAAGCGGTACGTGGCATGTTATCAACAATCGGAAAGTGGCTGCTGCAAGCGAGAGATTCAGTATCCCTGCAAGTATGGAAGGACAGCCACGTGCCAAGTACGGACCTTAACAGCGGGCGCTGCACCATCAGAGGGCGCAGCAATGCATATCGGCCACCGCTCCTGTGGTCCAGAAATATTGACCCCGACCGTACATGTTTGTTTCACATTGTTGACATTTTCCTGCAGCAATGTACCCCTATGTGCGGCCAGAAAGTCTGCACCTCAGGTGTATTTGTTGGTACATTGGAGACTTAGTTCAAACCCATTTGCCCATTGCATGCCAGAGCACTCATGAATGTCTTTTCACATACAGAAATCACATTAATGTCTCTTTACAAACGGAAGCAAGTTTTCCAAATCATCTCTGACCTAGATTCACCCACTTTACCATGGCATAACACTCTTCATTACAAGTTTGAAGGATAATAATCACTCCCTCTTCTCCTCTCCTCCCTTCCTTTCTCTCTCTCTCCCCCCACCCCTTTTCAACTTGGAAGTTGCAAGATTTCAGCGAAATGCACTACAGAAGAAACTTTCAAAAGTAAAATCAGTTTCTTTAGTATAAAATGTCTCCACTACAATATAGACCACTTACAACGTAACCGCTTATAGTGCAGGACCGGGTATAACGCGGCTTTTATAAACCACCGGTTCGCCTCCGATAGAACTCCATGTAATAACATACCGCTTAAAATGAAGGCGCGCGAAGGGAAATACCGGTTATAGTGCGGTTTTCGGAACAGCCCCGGCGACCGCGCCGACTGACCGACGCAGAGAGCACGCTTCCCTATGCGACACTAGATAACGGCGCGAGCCGCAAGCGGCACTCGCGGGGCAAGGAGGTTGCTCAAAGAAGCGGGGAGAAGCGAAGAGAGAGGCTTCAGTTGCCATTGCGACGGAGGGACGCACGCACGTGTCATTCACGTGCGTGCGTCCCTCCACTGCATTGGTTAGGAACAACCACAACGACAGACCAATCGCAGGTCGAGGAGAAGTGTTCGCGCGCGTTGCATGCCGGTCGCGGGCCGGCTGGCCGGCTGCTTCTATCCGCAAACATGGCGTCGGTTTTGATCGTCGACGTAGACGGCATGGTAGAAGCTTATCGCTTCGCGTAAAAGCGCTATCCTTGACTGTGAATTTTCGTTGTGTGTCGCTATGACAACCCAGCACGTACTAGAAGGGAAGATCCACCTACTCGTGCGGCGATGTTGTGGCGGCACTCTCAAGACGGCAGAAACGCCCGTGTCGTCGTGTTTGTTTACTTCGACTACAGTGGTGCTTTCTTAGCATTTGTGTTTTCGAACATCGCCCGGATTTCTTACTTGGAGCATTTCATGCCTGTGCTCAAGTTGAAGGTATTACTGGCGCATACCGTATAAAGGACGTGAATTTTCACGCGTTTTCATCGCCGGAGAAAAGTGATTAGGGTCAGCAATCCTGAACGTTCGCAACGTCCGTCCGCAACCCACGACGCCAATAAAAGGCTGCGCCAGGCAAAAGTAGCTCATTTCTTTCAACATGTGTGACACACTTGAGAGAAAAGTGTACTAATCTGGTGAAATAAAGACTTTCCTCAAACTAAGCTTTATTTTTCATCTAACCTAAAATAAATTCTTTTACAAAGGTAAGTTGTCTGATGGCATGCATTTTGGCCTGAAAAACTGATGTTTTGGTTATAGCACGGTACTGCTTATAGTGTGGATTTTCGCGACTCCCGCGACATATGTTTTATGCGGTCTACACTGTATTTGAATTACTACACCTCAAATGCCCAAACCGGTATTACAAGTGTATCTATACTATATATCTCCTTTAGTATACATATCTACAATTTTAATAAATTTAAAACAAGCAACACCAATCATATATCCTCCACACGACTAAAGTATGCTATGTTGTTCGAAGTATGCTTACAACTGACAGCACCCCACAAAAGTGTCGTGCTCGCAAAAACTGATGCTTCTGTTGTCAAAGCAACTCAAGACCCCTTTTGAAAGTCTACCCTCTGTTGGAATGTGCGGAATCCCTGCACAATGGCAGACACAAATGAAGCAGAAAAAATGGAACTCTAGAAATGCTGCTATACTTTGTTTCACAATAAATGAGAGTACAGCCCACACTACAAACCAAGGCCAATCAAGCAGTGCCAAAAGCACAGTGTCACCGTGTGCTTCCTTTTGTCTGTACGTTATGCATGACTAAACCAATCAAGCATAATGAATGTGCCGTGACCTTGCACTTTTATCTGTATGTCTGTGTTTGCATGTCTCCTATGCTTTGATTGCACTCTGACTTATGCTGAAATAAGGTACAATTTCCCTGTATCGTCGTCTTATGTAGCTTAAGACTTGCACATTCAGTGGTGTCAGTTCTTTGGCCATTGTGCAGTGGTTGAGACCTAACAATTGGCACGTGACTTTCAAAAGGGGTTCATAGCATAACTATAAAGACAAAAACAATTGGGAGCACTATTCACAGCTATCATGCTTTAGCCATTCAAAGGGGCATTTAATGGCAGTGTGCACACTGCAAAAGTCCCATCTCACCTCATGAACGTCATAGGTCTTCTTCAGGTTGTCGCCTACGATTCCGTACAGGTCGTCCAAGTCTAGCACTGGTTCCTCCACCTTGGTAGTGGTCACCTTTTGAGAAGTGAAACAGAGAAGAAAATGAGCAGATATACCAATTTAAAAAACATTCATTGCAAGACCTAAACAATACTACATGCATTTCCAAAAAAAAAATTGTTCACTTTGTTATTATACAGTAAAACCTCGTTATAACAAAGTTGAAGGAGCGATCGTAATTATTTCGTTATAACCATTAGTTTGTTATAGCCAATGTCCATTTCTTCCCTATTAGCAAGCAAGGGGAATTATGATTGCTTTGTTATATTCATTAGTTTGTTATATCCCATTTTGTTATAACGAGGTTTTACTGTAGTATGTTTGGTCAAAGCCTGCTGCTCCATGCACATGACGACTACTGAAGCTATTAGCAGGTCACTTTCCTTATGTCTGAAGTTTGCCACAAAATGAAACCACAGGAATGGGACAGATCAGATGCTAATCTAGCAGATCTCCACCTCTTGCCCCATCATGCCCTTTCCCTCCTTCCCTCTAGTGTATGTTGAATGGCGATTGTCCATCTCAATGTTTGAAGAGTATTGAGACGCCCGTCAAATGTTCCCACATTCTGGAGAGAAGTAGGGGAAGGGCATGGTCGTGTAGAGGCACCATTGTGACGTGCGCCTGTAAACAGAGGAGGCATTGGCACTATGCTATGTGGTGCAACTGCCATTTTGGGACCAAACACTCAAAAAACCACCTCCTCTTGTTTCCTGCCTATAACTCCTGTCTCTAGTGTTTCAACGTTCTCATGCATCATGCTAAAACTCACAACCCAGATAAAAGCATCAAAGTCAACATTGCTTGCATCACTCCTTAAGGCTGGTATTCTGTTCATGGCTGAACACTAGATGACCTAAAAATTTGAAAGCATGATTTTAAAAAAAAATAACAATTTCAATTTCTGTAATTACGGTAAACTTCACTATGCTTTTACTGCTGCTATACGCAATCCACAAGCTGAAGTATACATATGCATAGCTAAAGTAAGACTGCACGCTTTTTTATAGTGAGGTGAAAGGTTCTTGCACCTGAACTGGCTTCCTCCTGTTCAGATTGCTGATGATCCTCCTGGTCAAGTGCAATGCATGGACGTCATCCTTGGCATAGTGGTCTGCCACGCCTGAGCGTCTGTGGAGAGGAAGTTGAGGTGGCAGGTCAATCTTCAAGCTTTGCTGCATTATTTTATTGTTGCCGAAATTCCCTTACTAAACCTGAAGAACCTAAATGAATTCAGTGAAACCGTGTAAGGGCGCCCTCCCCCAGAGATCACCCATCCCATTTCTCTGGCTAAATATCTATAACAAAAATTTTTTTGAAACTTCGCACACTTTCATTCTTGTTGGATGTCGCGACGTCCGACAGGAATCGCATCAACCGCGCGATATGCGATACGAGTGTGTGTGACAAGAGTTTGTAGCGGGTTCACGCATTTTTGTCTGCGATCTGTGCACATGATATAGGTTCATGTGACACGCGAGTTGATCCTGCGTGTTTATTGCATCGTGAAATGAGAATCTGCTGCGTCTGCGATCTATGGTATTGATTCCCATGGCATGGGAGTTTGTAGTGTGTTCCCGCATTTCTGCACATGCAATATCAGTTCCCGTGACACATGAGTTGTCCCCGCCTGTTTATTGCACCATGAAACGCAAATCTGATGCATCCGCGATCCATGACATGCGAGTCCGCGGCAGGTTCCCACGTGTCCTTCGCACCGCATAAAACGAATCTGCTGCATCCGCAATATCCTTTACTGTGACATAGGAGTTCATAGCGAATTCCTGCATGTTTATTGATTGTGAAACATAAATCTGTCATGTTCGCGATTGGCGGGTCAGTTTCTATTTCATGTGATTTGTAGTGGATAGCCTGGTGTTTTATCACTTTTTTTATACAAAGTTTTGCTGTCATATTTTCATGTTTTTCATCATTTATCTCTACATTTTGGCTGGGCATCCTTAACGGGATTTTACGGCCGTATGAACATATGTCGGTTCCTCATTTTATTGATTTATTACAAAAAAGGTGGTACTTCACAGATAGTACAGTGCAATCCTCTTTTAACAATAATGAGAAAACCCAAAAATTAAATCGTTATAACCGATTATCATTGTATCTGCACTGGAAACTGAGCGTTTCTAGTCTAGAAACTCTAGAAACTGATCACTCTAAACAGCACATTGTTATATCTGGTATCGTTATAACTGAATTGCACTGTAGTAGTAATTTATCTGAATAAAAGCTAACACCATGCACCTAAAGTATTCAATCTGTTAAAGTACCTGTTTAGTGCTATTTCTGCTAAAAGTTTGCTGTAATACATATTACAAAGCTTCCATAAAGCAACATAGTCTGCACCAGTCAGAAACATGCCAAATGAAGAAATACACAAAGTTCAAAAAGCTCCAAGGCATCCCATTGGTATTCTCCTAAACATGAATTTGTGTCTGGGAAGTAAAGCAGTAAATTAGACGCATGAGATTGGCATGGACAACCCATAGTTCTGGACTCCCAGTGAAGAAGAGGGTGAATAGAGTCAGCCAGACGGACATCTTTCCTCCATCTCTCTAGAGTTCAGTTTAGCCGTTTCTGGTCACTTTGCCCTTGAGAGGGAAAAGGGCTATTTTGTAAACAAATATAGGCTAGGTCTTATTGAGCCATTCAATGTGAGTGAGCCATCCGGAAAACAAACCGTTAGCAAAATTAACAGAGCCAAGCTCAGTGCACAAGCACTTACTAGAACACTCACCGACAATGCAGATCAGCCCCACCAAGATCTTCGGCACTTATTTCTTCACCAGTGGCAGCTTTTACCTAGCACAAGAGTTTGAACCTACATCACATTCACATACATATAAAAAAACAAAAGAGGATGAGCCAGCTGGATATTCCAGAAACAGTTTCCATAATAAAGTGAAAGACTTGCCAGTGGAGGGCCGCCGAGAAAAATTGTCCCCTGTTTTCGCACGATAATGGCTTCGTCAGACATTGCGGGCACATAAGCACCTCCTGCAGTGCAACTTCCCAGCACAACTGCAATCTTGAGGAATAGTAAAAAATCAGTAATGCCTTAGCGCACGGGAAAACTAAAAGCAAGCATTCAGCATAGCAGACGATAGAGTGCGCCGTCTGCTCACTGCGCCTATCGGGGGATGGCGCCATAAATTACAACCATCGCTGACTCGGTCGTCTGCTAGCCTGTCCACCACTGACCCGGGAAAGTTTGTTGGTCCTATTTTTTACAAAAAGGGAACTATGCCTCAAAATTCTATTAGGTAAAATGCACTACCTAGATGCAGATTTGATGAAAGGTTGAGCTTTCTATGTGCAGGCGTTGATTTTTCCAGTTCGTTTTACGGTGCTAATGCGTTTTGTAAACATTCTAAGATGTAAAGCGAAAGCTCGCGCTGCAGAACCCAGGGGTCTTGGGTTGAATTTCCACCCCTGCCCGTTTCGACCTGGATGAGCATCATACCGGCGTGTGGTCATGTATCCCTACTGCGTGGTGCACGTTAAAGACCCCAGGCTAGCAGCTGCACGGCACTGGCTAAATTTCTCATCTACAGCTGGGAGACAAATAGCCCGTGGAGGCACACTAAGTTCTAGGGTGTATAAACATACACACACCCGACTTTTTTTGTAAACATTCTCTACTAAAAAAAAAAAGATTTTTTTTTTTTTAGGTTTTTAATGCCAGCCATTGCAATACCTCTAGATTTTAAAATCACAATAACTCTAGATTTCAAAAATATACAGCCATTCAGTTGCTTCAAGCTTTGAAAGGCACAGTTGGCCTGCTACAGCGTGACTTGTGCCAGGCCGACTGAGGACCCACCTGAGGAATGCCAGCGGCCGACATGGTGGCCTGGTTGTAGAAGATGCGGCCAAAATGCATCTGGTCAGGGAAGACCTCGGCCTGTCTCGGCAGGAATGCCCCGCCGGAATCCACTGTTGTAGAAAAGAGACAGAACGTCTCCATGCAAGCCACCCACGCTAACCTATTTTTGACACTATGTGTCTGACCACAGGAAAAGCTAAATGCAAAGAATAAATGCTAAGCGAAGCAGAGTCGAACAAGGATTGTTACTAAGCAACAAATGTGAGAAAGAGAAACTCCTATAGGGCTCTCCTTTCGTACGGCCAATTTAGAGAGCAGTACAAGACACCAGTGCTCTACGCACCAAATCGGGACTTAAAATATGCCTGTACCAGCATTATTATGCGTGCCAGATATTTTTCGTTTACTGTAATAATGTTTAAATCTAGAGGAAACTCTTTCTGGAGTAGACTTTTTAAAATCATAGCTTTACAGATGACGGTTTGCAGGGATTTCGGTGTCAGCGTTTGGAATTCTTTCGGAAATAGTGCTTGCTATTAGATTTGCGGCACACTTTTATTGTTTAAAGTATCAAAGGTTCTCGAAAATTTGAGAATTATAAATGACGCCTTAAGAATTTTTCAGTTTTTCGCTTCAAGGCTGGGCTTGAAGCTCGGGCACGTTCCCATGTGGTTCAAGTTTCGGTTTGCTTCTTGCTCCTCCCAACTTGACCGTCGTTTCTTTTCACATGAAGCAGCATGTATGGGCCAGTGATGCAAATCGTGTTTCGTCATGTAGTGTCACCTTCTGATGGCATGCAGTTTCTTGTTTTGTTTAGGCAAGTTCCGTTCTGGTATGCTCCTTCATTGCTACGGGACAGCGAATCAATGTCATTCAACCTTGCACTACATGGCGAACGCCGAGACCTAGAAACTACTAATAAATTCGGTATTCGACGACTGTAAAAACTAAGAAGTTAAAGTTCCGAATAATTAAGGGCCAAGTAAGGCCACTCAGAAGACCGACCTCAGGGTGTAAAATCGAGGTGCCACAGCACAATACCATGTCTTGAAATTTATATGATATGAGAAATGTGCCATGGGTTGGAGGCATGCGGATATCAATTAGCTTTTTGCCTTTAAAAGAGTGTGTTTTTTATAAATAAATATTATAGACAAAGCATGCTACACTGCTACTAATAAAAAAAAATTTGTGTGTTGGCATATGTGGGAAAAAAAGACACGGCACTCGAAGGATTTTTGTGTGAGCTGGTGTGAAGCTTCACCACTTCGCACCAGCGTGCACACATCAGGCATCACTGCTTTGTATTGACGTGTTCGGAGAAATGGCTGACATATCGGAGCACTCCTAAAAAGTCAAATTTGCCTAAAAAGTCAAATTTGGGGGTTTTACGTGCCAAACCAACAACGCGCATCTGGCATGCCCCAGCGGAGGACTGAGGGTTAATTTGGACCACCTGGGGATCTTTTGACGTGCAACCGAAAGCTCGGTTACACGGTGCCTCCTCCGCAATAAGCTTCCGTCAGATTGCGGGCACCTTGGTCAGGATTCAAACCCGCCACATGGGGTCGGAGCATTCCTGCTTGCCCCATTGTATCGGAAATCTTGCTCACTATTGTAAGTAAACCTCCTTAGGTTATTATTATGGTTCAACCCATAATAACATTGAGTTATATTAAAATAAATAAGGTAGTCATTTTTTTGTCTGCCATGTCAAATTATGTTTCACCCAACTTGTTTTACCAGGCTTTTCGTTTCTTCACAGAGGTACGCGCAATACTTTTCATGCAAAAAACAAACAAAAAAAAACTTTTTTTTTAAACGAAATATTTTAGCCATGATTTAATGAATGATTCATGTTCAATTCTTATTATATGTAAAATATTTGTATTTAAAAATGATTTAATTAGATTCACCGTTGAATTTTAATATTTCTACTCGATTTGTAATAAAATAATTTTATATCTGCATAACTCTACCAAAAAGTGCAGTTTTTGTTAGATATTGTCAAATAAAAAAGAGAAATTGCTAGACTAATATTGCCCCATGCTGCAAGCACAGACCGTTGAATACATATATATATTTTTTATTTTAGTGTTTTGAGGGGGAAGAAAAGCAAGAAAAAAATAAGTTGTTTCACAATGGCTCAATATTTTCTAGAGGTTTTACAACTTCACAATTAAGGCAGAGAATACCAGACGTTCTGAGCAAATCTGAAGCTACGAACAAACGTGCCCACACTCACCCAAATACACGCAAGGGAGGTTGTTCTCCCTCGCAATCTCCTGTGCCCTCAGATGCTTCCTCACCGTGAGGGGGTAGTAGGTGCCTCCTTTGACGGTGGCGTCATTGCCCACAATGATACACTCCGTCCTTCCAAGCAAAACAAACGACGATGAAAAAAAGCTTTAATAAAGATTTGCAGAAATGACATCTTTCTTACTACAATATCTAGAGAAATGCTCCCCATTCTGCCCCACTCCTGCAATTTTGGCATGACTTGCTAATTATTTTTCAAGAACACCGAAAGATAGAAGCTGCAGCACCTGGGTCAATGGTGACCTAAGCCGAAATGGGGTTAGTTAGCTACGGCGGGGGATGAGCGAACATTGCTGACTGGGAAAAACAGTTCTTTATGCTTTACAGCCATCCAACGTGATAAGGCCCGCTTCAGACGGGACAACTTTTCCAGCAATTTTGAGGTTGCTGGCGGGTTGTTCCCTAGCCTCCCCTAGATTGACGCGAATTGCTGAGATCGGGTCCGGCTCGAACAAGAAAGCCACTCGGAGCAAATCGAATGACGTTGAAGTGGCTGCAGCCCATAAGAGACGCAATATTTTCACGTGACGCGCCTGTGGTGGTGATGATGACAGCTAAAGACTTAGTTCTGGTTTGGAATGGATCGTTTTCGGAAATAAATAGTTTCAGAAAAATTAGTTAGTATTCTCAACGCCGTTCAAAAATAGAAGAACGCGTTTTTAGCGCGTAGCTGGGCGTCTAAATAGTGAAAGAAGAATCAAATTTAATGATGATGATGGCAAGTCGGAGCAATTCGGTTGCTGCGTGTGAACGCGGAAGCCGGTGTTGCGACGTCAAGTTTCTGGGTGAAATTGCTCCGTCTGAAGCGGGCCTAACAAGTTTGGTGGATCACAGAATACAAAACTGGTATTTTCCCAACTTTTCTCAGTCGGACACGGAAAGTTAGCCCCCTCTTCATTTTCATCTGATATGCTCTCCATTTTAGATGGGCTATCTGTCGGGATATAACTGTATGTTCCTTTTTTGCACCATCTACTAAAAACGTGAGGCAACCATCCTAAAGTAAAAGGCACGTTTGGGGCTTGTCACGATTTTCACAACATATGACATCAATGACGTGAAACAAATACATCTAGAGTTCTCCGTTGTTTGCTTTTCTTGCTTCACACTGTCAATCCAGCACGTTATCAGAAAGCGAAGACGTCCCAGGCAAGCAGCCATATTTTAGTCTTTTATTTTTTTTGGTCCCAGATGACCCACCGAGCTTCAACAGACGGCACCAGAAATGACCAAGATTTATCAGTCAAGTTATTCTCCCATTTCTGCAGGCTTTGTTTCACAAAAGATAATGCAACATGAAGCTGTAGAAAAAAATATTACTTTTAGCCTTTGTTTTACAAAAATTGTGACACAGCCTTTACTCGTGACTTATTCGTACTAGAACTACAATTTTTAAATTCAACTCACTTTTAATAAGCAAAAAGAAAAAAGATTAGTATCATATTTTTTAGTCTAAGTTGCATCGTGTACACTAAATACCACCCCCAATAAATAGCCGTTTTCACAAAAACAGTTTGTAGATAAGTCACAACTTTGTACTGGCCAACACCCTGTTTACAAACACCTGTGTTTGCCATGTGAGGACAGCGTGCCTGTGCAGAAACAATTTATGTGAAGTGGATTGTCTGCGCACACGCTGTGCCGACAACAGCACCACTGCAGCGGTGCAACGTCAGGGCTGCGTGTTGGTGCATAAGTCGCACCTATATATTCGCATGATTGATGCGGCATAACTGCATTGATAAGCCTGCATACGTGTATTGTGATTACAATCTATGCGTAAGCATAAACTGCAATCACAATTTATGTTTTAATATTCTTACCAATGAATTCACGCCAGTGAATTCTCACCAGTTTCAATATTCTCACCAATGAAAAGCGAGAAATATGACTTTAAAGCAAATTTCCGCAGTTAAAGTCCGTACTTATAGAAGCAAACGCACAAAGGCGCATCATTATTAAAGACTAACAAACTGAAATTTTGGAAGAAATACAAAATGTGACTTATACATTGGAAAATATGGTATATGCAAATAAGGTGGCAGCATTTTTCTCACCCACAGATCCTCCCGATTCCTGTGACCATGCCAGCAGCCGGCACATCATCTTTCCCATAAACTTTGAAAGCTGCTAACTGGGACAACTCTAGGAAGGGGCTCCTGCAGAAGACAAAGTGGGCTACAGAGAAAGAATTCAAGCTGCATGTCCTATAATAATGGGAATGGAATTCATCTGAAGAAAATGTGATGTCACTTGAGCTTCTAACATTAGATTTAAGTGATATTGTTGTGGTATGCGACAACACTAAATTTTTCCACTTTCTTAGATTTGTCACTGACACTGATTTGTTTATAATACTCAAACCTTAAGATACTTTGCAATATACAACAACATAGTATCGGAATAACCGTGGGCTAATTATTTTTATGACCCTTACCCTGGATCGACTAGTGTGTTTATTCTGTCTCTGACCAAGAGCTTTCCCTTGGAGACATGCCTCTGTACGGCCTTTTCACCTCCACCTGAAAAGAAAAAGGAAAACAAAACATAGGTTCTAGATTTCTTAATATCTACTTTTTTCTACTCAAGTTTTCTATTGAGGAGTTTCAGCGACGGTGTCACCGCCCTGGCGGCCGGTCGCCGAAAGAGAACGAGGGGGATAGGTTCGCTGGGCGGTGGCTTTGTGTATATGCGTTGGCCGCGAACGTAGGCCTATAAACTTCGGCAGCAAGAATATTACGCGGCTCTAGTGTTTCGGTACGAGCAACAGAGGTGACACGATCTGCTACGACCAGCTACGACCACCCGCCGCAGCGATGCAGGCGTCGAAGGAGCGCAACCTGTGTACTACGCAGTCAGCCGCCGTCGCCGGACGCAGATCGTTCGGCATTCAGGGCTTTCCGCCCCGGGTTCTCCGCTTGTACTTGGAACCGAGTATTATTTCCTGTGCTTGTGTATGTGCTAAGTGGCTGGATATGGACCTCATAGAGCAGTTCTTTCAGACTCAACAGCGATTCAAAGTTGACGGCGGAAGGGCTTGCGGCAACGCTTTCGGTTGGTGCACGGCTGCGACGACTACACGGATAAATTTTAAGATTGGTGCTAGCAAGGTGGGCCATAGTCGCTTTACGTTGACACAATTTTGAGTGTAAGTACTCCGTGCAAAGGCGAATCTATCGCGTTTCTAATCCACCTTTGTTTTTGTTGTTTTTAGCACGCACGACCGACTGCTAAGCAAATGCTTCTGTACCGATCACGGAGTGAATGTCTTCGGCCTTACATTGCGGAACGCCCAATAAAAAGTCAAATTCGTTCAGCAAGAAAACTTCCCTTTCGAGTGACCTTCTGATTGATAATTTCTCCCGTACTTAAGTGCTTTAATCAACACGATCGATTAAGTTTGCTTCCCTAGTTAGGACATTTTTGTGCTACATGCAGCACTAATGCTTGGCACGATGTTCGCCACTGGTGGTATTGTGAATTGGTTTACTTCCAAAGCTAACAGTGCGACAGGTGGGACCATTCAATTTGCTAAAAACGTGATGATATGGGAATTTCGTTGCATAACTAGCGTTTTACGTTTAAGATTGATAAGAAACATGCTCATGTGATGATGCATGTCTACAGCATAAGCTTTGCAGATCCAGAATAGATGCGCTATAGGCTACAGCCTCAAGGTTTTTAATGGACCGAATTGGTGATTACACGGCAATAAATGTTGTGGTGAAAAACTGCCCATTGACTCGGTGAGTTTTGATTGTTACCATTGGTGTGCTGTTGGCAAATTAGATAATGGCACACCTTTTCCCTGACCATCTGGCTTCAAGGAGCATTGCATCTAGATGTGCTCAAATATCTTTATTTCAAGGTTCAGTGGACCCCTCTGCATCATTACAGGAAGGCAGTCTCAAGCCACAACAAACAGCAGTGAATATACAATGCATAATAACAGGCACCAGTGTCGCGTATAGTCCGCAGTAATCAGTTTGAGCCTAAAAACGTTTCTGTTTTGTTTAGATAGTTTGCATTTGGTGTATAATCCGCAGGGCCCGATTTCCGCGCCCAGTGCATAGTCCGCCAAGCTGGTGCGTTGTGTCTTCGTGCTTTTTTTCCTGGGTGGCATTTTCTTCAGAAGTTCTTCGGTGAACGCTATTGAGCCTGAAGAACTGCTTTTGAGGCCCATATCTAGCCACGGAGCACACACAAGCACAGAAAATAACGCTCGGTGCCAAGTACAAACGAAGCACCATGGGGAAAGCTGTGAATGCCAAACGAGCTGCGTCGGGTGACGGCGACTGACGCCTGCATCGCTGCGGTGGGTGGTCGTAGCTAGTCGTAGCGAGATGATCTTCACTTCAAGCAAGAAATCTTGTTATACCATAGTCAAGATATGTGTGCAAGTGTTCGACGACGTGGGCTCTCTCACGTTGGTGCAGTTGTCATCAAGAAAGGTGCATATCAACAATGTTGCGTGTTTGAGGCTGAAACTATGACGCACACTTATCTAAACCTAAATTTATCGGTCTGAGGCTACAAACATTTTCGTTGACGTTGCTTAGATGATGTAACCATTCAGGCCTCGCATTAAATGGTGTTGCGACTCTTCGGTTGTGTATGAAAACCTATTTTTGCCCTAATAAAAGACATTTCCAAAAGGACATGTGTCTTCTGCTGGTACATATCTTCCAATTTACAATGCAGAGGCAAACAGAAAATTAACTGCATACATCTACCACTTAGCATAAGCACCTTTGGCATTCATTCTTGAGCACACTCAAATATCAGCTTAGTTTGGTCTTGTTTTAGAAGCTTTGCCCTGTTCTGTAAAAATAAAACAGTTAAAAAAGCTTTACCTTCGTTCTCCTTCTTGCATTTAATACAGACTTGTTTGTCCAGATATCACCGTGGCACATACAACTCGAATGACCGATGAGACTATTGCTATTACATTAAAGCTTTCCACAAGAGCCAAAACGAGGCTTGTAGGGGTGCAAAAGCACATAGAAATGAGATTGGCACTTCTGGGAATTGTTTACATTACGCGTAAAAACAGGACGACCGGCGACCAGCTGATCGCAAGATAACACCAAGGATACCGATGTTTCGATACGCAGGATAAAGACCTCAATCGTCCCTTGTATGCTGCAGTTGTCATACTTTCTATCCAACCGCTTTTTTGCTCAATTAACTAGAACAACCGAAGAGTTCGCGATACCTTTTAATGCGAGGCCTGAATGGTTACATCATCTAAGCAACGTCAACGAAAATGTTTGTAGCCGCAGACCGATAAGTTTAGTCTTAGATAAAGTACGCGTCATAGTTTCAACGCGCGAACATTGTTGATATGTACCTCTCTTTGGACCCGCGTACATTCGGTTCAACTTGATGACAGCTGCACCAGAAGTGAGAGCTCACGTCGAACACTTGCACACATATCTTGACTCTGGCAAGATTTCTTGCCTTCAACTGGTTTGAAGACTTCATCTGTAGCATCACGGTAGGTCTTGGTTGAAACGATGATCGTCTCGCACACGGCAACAAACAGAGAACTACACGCTTTGTTTTATTTATACGCTACCGGTCTACGGGCGTCGCAAATCTATCCCCCTCTTGTCCGCCATGTTGGATCGATCGGAGCGCCCCCTATATTCGCTGAAACTCCTCAATATCTACCGAAAAAGTTTGACAGAAATGATTTCAGCGTTTAACTTAATAGTGATTGCAATATTTATTTTAGCTCAGGGCACTTGCGAACTTAGACACTATCACTGCCTTACCTTTCGAGATTTCTTCCACGGTGTCCTTCAATTTGTCAACCAGCGCCTTCATCCGTTGGTAATTCTCCTGTCAACGCAAGAAATAAAACCACGAAGTAGAGAAAAAATTCATTAAATTTGTTAATCGGAGAAATCAAACTTTTGAGCGACGTTAGCTACACGACCGAGGCATGCAGACAGGTAGCATGCTGGACAGGTAGAACGCAAGATTATCACCTGAAACTCGGGAGAATTTTTGTTCGGCACACTTCCGATCGTCCTGACTTCATCGAGATGGTAACTTCTACGGCTGACGGCTGTAATTCGCAGTGGTAATCTCGCGCACCGGCAAAACCGATTCAGAAACATCCTCGAAGCAACGCGAGCAGCAGCAGCCGAGCTCGAAGTTGATGACCCTATCCATTTACCTCGCAAGCTTGCCAAGAGCCACGACCAGCTTCCAGCCAAGTCAGCCAAGTGCCGCAAGTCATCCCCAAACCAAAACAAAATGAACTTATTTCTTTTATTACTTCGTCAGTATTATAAGAGGAATTTATTTAATATCTTGTTTCGTTTGTTTAGTAATTTCTAATTACTTTATTTTCAACATATTTTCAACCGGGTTTCGAATTACGGAAAGTGTAGTTCCGGTTTGCAACATCCGGCGATCCGGCGCCCACATGAGGATTTCATCTGAGCTCATCGACACTTTGAAGTTTTTCAGCAGCTTTCAGGATGACGAAAGAAGACGAAAACGCAGCACTTGGGTATTTATACGTCCTTCGGGAACGTCTTATAACCCTTTATGCTAGTATCAGGCGTATGCGTGTTCTGTAAAAGAGCTTTATGCTGGTTGCATGTACTTTGCGATGCGAGCAATGCAAGGCCGGCAATCTGAGCTAACAGCGTACCAGTGCTACGTTGCTTGTTTGACCATTCTATTTTAGCATTCTCAGGTTTCAGTAATACCCCTGTGATTTTTGTTATGCTCGTGACGATCCGCTGTGTGTTTGGCACTTCGTTTATCTAGTCACTGGCATGCATACGGAGTGAAGGCTACGTGCTCGGTGAACCGTCACATGTCTATCTGTCGCCTTGTGATCACGTTTCGCCCATACCCACGGCACCCACGCGCAGAGAGCGGGATCGGGTGTCGAATTGGAGGCGGCCGGTTGGTCCGTCAAATGCTTAGCGACGCTCGATTTGAGCAGAACGAATCAGTAATGCAATAAAAGCGTTTCTTTATCTATCTTCCAGACCGGACGGCCAGCCACTATCAAAGAAGGCCCTCAAAAAGCAAGCGAAAGAGCAAGAAAAGGCAGCAAAGAAGTCGTCCAGACAGTCAGCGGAAGATGTAAGTAGCATTAAACCTGAACCAGTGCGACGGAAAGGATTGTGATGTCGTCATATCATGCTGATGGCCATTCTTACTTGTTCTTGTTGAGAAAATTTAATTTGGTGGTGCGCAACATGTGCTATAGAGAGCATGCACAAAGTAGCAAGTTCACCACAATGGCCGCCGATGTGACGTCAGTTCAAGCCTACATTCTTAGATCCATTGGTCAACAAGCTCCATGGGAGAGCGGCATTCGATAACGGTTCTTCTCTGCTGCCTGCACACAAGCAGGTTCGGGCGGATAGCGTTCCTAGCGCCACTAGTGGCAACACCTATACGGGCAGCAGAGAGAAGCTATTTTTGAACGACGCTCTTTTTGCACATACTTTATGTTTACCATAAAAACCATAATAGAATCACTTTTCACCACAGGCAATGCGCATCCAATGTTCCATCGTTTCCGCCGCTTCTGTCCATAGGGCGGGCCAATAGCCTAGCAAGTGCCACTAAGTGGACGCACCATCGAAAAGGCGCCAGGTGCTCTAGGACGCTTGTCAACTGTCTTTGATCTAGTCGTGTTGGTGCAAGCCATGTATACAATCACAAGAAAAGGGATGGGTAACACACACGGCATGTATTCAACTCTCAAGACCACTTGTTGATTTTTAAAAGTTCCTCACATACTGCCTCAGTATTTGGCTCTTGCTCGATGCTTTCCTTGCCCATAACAGTGTTCTGGCACTACTGTTGCAGCGTCTTTGTATGCATATTGCAGGCCAGCAAGCAGGCCGGAGATACTGAGGTTGATTACTCGGAGGGGCATTACGGCAAGATGGCTATGTTGCAATCTTCCGAGAAAGTTTCACGGGAACTTGCAAAAGTCAAAGATCTTTCATCGTCTATTGCCGGCAGCTATATCTGGATAAGAGGACGACTACACACTAGCAGGTCTAAAGGTAAACAAACTTGTGAGCTATTGGAGTGGTTCAAGAACCTTAATGTCGCTCTTCTCACAGGAAAACAGTGCTTCTTTGTCCTGCGTCAGCAGCAGTACACTGTGCAATGCCTTGTTGCTGTATCTGAGAAAGTGAGCAAGGCAATGGTCAAGTTTTGTGCCTTGTAAGTAAGACTTTTGTCTCTAAACTGTATTTTGTTTCACTAGGATTCCATGTTTTCAGAGTTTATTTCTTATGAAATTTGGAGGGTGTTTTTCTGAGTTCATTTTATGCCAGAAATTTAGAGTTTATCATAGTTTTATCTATAATGGGCTCCCGATTCTCTGAAGTTCAAAGTTTAATTTTGCTGTGTGTGCCCATTTTTTCGATATTCAATATAAAAACAAATATTATCAGGACACAAACCTGCTGAATTTTTTTAAGAACTCGCCTGTGTTGAATGATATTTCTTCAGGTGGATTGGGCATTTGTGCCCTTGCCATAGGTAGTACTAACCGTCCCACAACGAAACTTGCAAACAAGTGTTGCTTTAATAAATGCGTCGCCACTTAAAAGAAACTTAATTTCTTGCTGTAGTTTCTCAAAAGCTATTTTTTTCCCATCCCATTTCATTCTACGAGGGGTGCAGCGGCTGGATGAAACCTTTCGTTGTTCCCCTCCCTCCTATGATCATAGCTTTCATTGTAATAAAAACACAACCCTGCCTTCCTCTAAGAAGTCCAAACTGAAAACTAGAACACTGGCTTCTGTCATGAGGTAAAATTATAATAATGAGTTGTCCTCAACAAAACTTGACAAGATAAATGGTGAACCCCCTTTTGTTAATAGTCCATGATTTGAAAGGAAGCTGGAGAGGCCCCTCCTCTGGACCACTGACTGTGTGCTCTGACCAAACTTGTTTGTAAAGTGCCATGTTTTTTGTGCGTGTGTGTGTGTTTTTTTTTTTTTACACCATTGGAACATTGAAGTTTGAAGTTTTTTTGCATAAATCTGAATTGACTTTTATTGGATTTATCCGAAAACACGAAACCCTACTTATGGCTGATTCCGCACGTGCTACAAGCCATTGAAACTAATCCAACGCCATGTGAGTGTCACGTGATCTTGGAGAGGGGGCGCACTGATGTGCAGAAAGCATAGTTACGTGCTAGTTCATTGAGCTGACTTGGCTTGGATGGCTCGTAGCGTCTGCTGCTGTTGGTCATAAGTATGGGTTTTGTCTTTTTGGATAAATCCAATAAATTCCGAAAAACACTCACCAGTAATATTTTCTACAATTCGGATTTATCCGAAAAACTCAGAATTTCAAGGTCACTATGGCAAAATAAAATTTCCAATAAGACGGTATTTTATGAATAAACTTTGCCAGAGCACAGCGTTGGTGGTCCTGAGAAAAGACCAAGACCCAGTTTTCTTTTTATCTATTTATTAAAAAAAATTAGTTTCCCGTTTATCCCGTCAAGGTTTGTTCAGTACAAAGGGCCAATGTACTTCTGGAACACGACAAAAACCACTGTTCCAGCTTCCAGTTTGAATCATACTATTAGTGCTTTCTAATCGCCACTTGTCGGTGTTGCTCGAAATTCGAAGCAGGTACTTTCCAAAGGAGGTGATGACACCCATCATCCATTGAACTCCTTTCTTGGTTGTCGGAGCAGGCATCTGTAGAACGCTTTTAACAAGCTGAGGATCAGGCTGTATCCCGTCTTTGGATACACTGTCACCCAGAAAGATGACTTATGTGACACAGAACTGGCACATTTTGCATCAATCTCAAGCCTGCATTCTTGAGCCGCTTGACGAGCTTTTCGGATTCATGTACTGTGCTCCTCACGCGTGGCACCCCAAATGAGGACGTTCTCTATGTAAACTCAAACACTTGGTAAGCCATCGAAGATCTGTATCATTGTCTTCTGAAAGACGTCCGGTGCAAACGAAATTTCGAATGAAAGACGCCTGAGGCGGTATCGTCCAAACACAGTACAGAATGTGCAGATGCACAACGTTTCTTCATCCAGGGGGGATCCGGTGGAAGCCCGTGTTGGTGTCTGACCTGGAAAAAAATCGCCAGCTAGCCAGCTCCGCCTAGACGTCTTCCCTTGTTGGCATTTCGTATTCCTGCGCTTCAGGCTTTCGTTGACGAATCTGGGATCCATTCACACTCATAGTTTGTTGTCCTTTTTACGAGCGACGATGAGCAGGCTGACCCTGTCTGACGGTTCTTCCGTCTTGACTATTATTCCAGCCTGCTCCATTTTGTTTACTTCTTCTTTCAGAGGTTTCTTGAGCAGCTGCGGTACTCGGCGAGCTGCTTGGATGACTTGTTTAATTCCGTCTTTCAGAACCATCCTTTACTCTTTAGCGGTACACCCGATACCCTCAAACAGTTTTGGAAATTTTTCTGCAATCCTTTTTGCATGGTCATTGGCACCTGTCATGGCATTGACATGGTTGATTAGCCCAAATGACTAACATGCTCAGAGTCTGAGAAGCACCTGACTTGCTTTCTTGACGATGAAGAAGTCTAGCGTTGCTTCTATCCCATTGACGTTGACTCGCAGTTCTGCTATTTCAATGTGTCCAATGGCTCCTCCACTGTAGTTTCTCAGTACAGTCTTCGACGGTTTCAACACACTTGTTTCCCTTAGTTTCTTGAAAGTTGATAGTGGTAGCAGGTTGGCTTGGGAACCCCTGTCGACCTTCAGTTTAGCTTCACTGCCAGAAACGGTCACTGGTATAATCCAGTCAGCACTGCCATTTCCGATCTCCAAAACTGAAAAATCATCTTGGGTTATATACACTCTGTCAACTGTCTTCTTGGATTTGCAACAAGCCAAGAAATGATTCTTTTTATCACAGATCTGGCATGTTTTGCTGTATGCTGAACATTTCCGTGGTTCGTGATGAATGTTGCATTTTCCACATCTTTTGGTATTAGAGCGAGCTTGCATTCTCTGCTTGGAAATGGGAGCCACACTCTTTTTTGGGTTGCCCCAGGTCTTCTGCCTTTCTTTGCCTACTTCTGCCGCTTTGCAGAACGTGACTGAATTTTCCAAGGTTAGGTAGTCTTCTCGAAGGAGCTTTTCTCGTAATCACTTCTCGGTGACGCCGTACGCAATCTGATCTCGAATCATGGAATCGGACAACTGTTCAAAGTTGCATGATTGGGCCTTCAGCTTCTCGTCTCGATAAAACGTTTTGAATGGCTCACCTTCCGCTTGCATTTGTGTCCTGAATTTATAGCGCTTGTAGGTCTCATTGCATCTAGGAGTGCAATACTTCTCGAACTTTGTTACGAGGACACTATAGCTTGCCCTTTCTTCCGTCAGCCCAAAGGTGTTGAAGACTTCGATGGCTTCAGCACCCACTACGTGGAGGAAGATCGCACCCTTCTGTTTGTTGGTGCGTGCCTTGGCCAGCTCGGTCGCAGCCACATAGAGCTCTAGGCATTGCTTAAACTTCCGTCAGTTGTTGGCTATGTTTCCTGAGAGCAGCAAACCATCAGGCGGACAAAGTCCCTCCATTGCCAGACAAAGGGAGAGCCACTTCTGACACCATGTATCAGGAACGACGATACGAGGCCATCATGACGAGCGGTCGAATATCACTTCATCGTCTCCTCCTATTTGTCTATGTCTATGCCAACATATACGGATACACTATAGTTGTGCTTTCTGATGGGAGAAGGGGTTGTGTTTTAGAGCGCAGCTTTTAGGCGCCCGTTTCTGGCTTGAGTGGCGTCGCCGTCTGCGTAATTGTTTGGTGCATTATGGGATGCGTGACGTCACTGATGATGTCATCAGTGACGATGACGATGATGTCATCATGATAACGTCACGTGATGTCACAAGGACCACCAGTGACATCATCGTCATCAGTCATCTAGCGGAAAAAATTTCCCGCTAAATCTAGCGGAAAATATTTCCCCACTAAATCTAGCAGAAAAATTATCTTCCCTAAATTTAGCGGAAAAAAGTTTCCTGCTAAATTTAGCAGCAGAAATTTCCCCGCTAAATCTAGCGGAAAAAGAACCCGCTAAATTTAGCGGAAAAAATTTCCCCGCTTAATTTAGCGGAAAAAATTTCCTCGCTAAATCGAGTGGAAGCAATTCCCCGCTAAAGTTAGGGGAAAAAATTGCCCCGCTAAATTGCCGCCAAATTTACACGCGATGCTCTCAGCAAAGACGTGCATTTTCTGGGACTTGCGTTAAGCACACGTCGATCCACGCCGATGTTAGTAGTGGGGGACTTTCCACCTTCTCCCCCAAGTACCCTTCGCCCCTCCTCCTCAAGAGCTGCACTCTAATTCGGCGTTACAAAGGATTGTAAACGTCTTCCTTTTTTTTTACAGTGAAAGATGAGAACCTGTAGATTTCAGAGGATGGGGAGAGAAACCAAAGGTTTTATGCGACCAGGGATCTGGCTATATCAAAAGTACTGACGTTTATTAAATAACACTTGTTTTCAGCATTTGTCTGGGGACAGTTAGTAGTGCCAATAGCAATAGTCTCTGTGCTGCGACGAAGCTGCTGTTTCTGTGCATCATGTGTGCTTCTTTTCAGAGTCACAAAGGAGTCCTTGCTGGATGTGTACGGCATTGTACAGTCTTCTCCGCAGAAGGTGGAAGGCTGCACTCAGCAAGACATAGAACTGCACATCGAGCAGGCAGGTTGCTCAGTCTGATCACTCTGCATGTCTCACTATATTTGTAGAAAACTAGGAAAAAGGTTGCTGACTTTTTTTTATAACAATTTGTTTTGTTTTTCTTCCTTTATTACCAGCTGTTTGTGGTGAGTGCGGCCGAGCCACGCCTGCCGCTCCAGGTGGAGGATGCAGCCAGGCCGGAAAATGAGGACGTGAGTCGGCAACTTGTTAGGGATCTCTCCTGCCAACTGACCGTAGTGTGGCAGCTCTATTTTCGGTAAACCCTCCAAAATTACTGAGTGTACAAAATAGTTGCTGCAGTGCCGACCAGAAGCTGAAGCTATATCAACGAAGGGGCACCGCTACTGTAAAGTTCATTAAAACGAAAAACCACAAAAAATAATTTTTTTCTTTTTATTAGTCTTGTGCGAATAATGGATTTTGAGTTAGAGCGAATAATGGTTTTGGCCGAATATTTTTGATTTGAATATCCAATAGTTTTTCCACGCCTTTCACTACCATTGCATAATACTTAGACGAAAACCCAGCTAAACTTGTAAAAGTTGTTCCACTTGTTCATTTATAAGCTATGTTTAATCTATCTATATTTATGAACTGTGACCTCAAGGTCTGGTGTCTTGGGATGGCAAGTAAACGACTGATTTGACATAAAAGGAATCCTGTAGAGATGGTCAACTATACCCAATGGAGTGAATTTACAAATCTTGCTTTCTCGAGTTAAAATCTCTAGTTAAAAAAGAATGAATCGTACATGATGAATGCAGGTTGTAAGGGCATATCTGCCGAACATAGTGTACTCTTGCATAACAGTTTAATCTTCAATCTTTTACTACAATGTAGATATACACATCCACAAAGTTTTCATTTATTTTCAAATACAGTCGGCACAGGTGCACCATCCCGCTTTGAACGTGTGCTTTACTTCCAAGTATGCAATTACAATTATTATAAAAAGAGTTTAACTATATAGAAAAAGCACAGTAGCAATGTCCGCTGCACAGGGAATTAATTATTTTTTCCTTCTATATTTTTTCTTCCTTCTATATTTTGTTTTTAATCCTTTTTCTGTTCTTGCCTTTTCTCTTTTTCATATGATCCTTGTTTTTTTGTTTCACTGCCATTTGCATCGGAGTGAATGAAGATGAAGATGATGCATAATACATTTGAGTTGTCAGTCAGCGCTGCGCGAGTGTTCTTCCTGTGTATGCGTGATTTTCCTTTTAAGTGTGTCTGATCTTGTGTGCTGTGAAGCATTATCACAATATTCATACTTTTCCAAGTGCCTACCATGGCAAGTTACCCCATCGAGTGCGCTTCTTAGCGAGCAACAGTGCGCTGCGGAGAAGCAACACCCGCGGAGCTCGCTTCCGCGGGTATTGCTTCTCCGCAGCGCACCAGTGCTTGGTAAGAAGCGCACTCAACGGGGCTAATTCGCCGCAATCAACTCTTCAAAAAACGCGAATAGTGCTGTTCTTCTCGAAGCGAATATCGAATAGTGTATTATTCGGAACTACTCTTCGAATATTCGCACAACCCTACTTTTTATATAACATTTTTTGTACAGGATACGTATTAGAATTTTTACTTAGAAAACTACCTAAGCCAAATTGATGTGATTTATAATTTCTTTTAAGTCATAAAATTTATATCATGAATTGCAAACATACACTTTAGAATACCGGTGTGAACGGGCATTTTATGAAAGCAGTGAGACGTGCTATGTCATTGAAGAGTGTGGACCAGCCTCGGTGGGTCCGAGGCAAGGCGCTGGCCTGCAGATCTCCAGTTGGCGGGTTCAAATTCCAGCCGAGGTGCCCGCAATCCGACGGAAGGCTTATTGCCGAGAGAGTGCCTCGTAACCGAGACTATGGTTGCATGTCGAGAGGTCAAAATCAACCCCCAATGCTTCGCTGGGGCGTGCCAAATGCCCTCCAAACTTTACGGTTCTTTTTTGAGTATGGAAGAGCGTCTAGATGCTTATTCTTCATAAACCTGCGCTTCCATCTTTGTTGTACCCAGTCTTTGAAGATCCACAAAATTTACCATCAAGCTCACGTCTCCGAGTTGTGGGTAACCACACCATCGCCAATCGGTCCCTAACAAAATATTGTTGCTTGATTTAGTTTTTGGGGTATGAAAAGGCTAACTTATCGGGACTTTCAGGATCAGTGGAAATTGTAGTTCCTTGAGGCTCGCATTATAATCGCTGACAAGGTGAGAATGGCAGGGAGGAGCTTCAGTTGTCTCGCCTTCAGTGCGAGCTTCCTACATTCGATAATGGTTCGGCGTCTCGTGCACCTCGAGCACACGCATGCAGCAGAAGGTGTATAGCGTGAAGGCCGGGCATTCGAAAGGCGAGTCCTGTCATTTTCATTTTGTCGGCGGCTACAGTAGCAGGGGTCTGATTTTGGTCTCCGCGAGAGCGAGATCTAATTTGGCTCTTGCGGAGTGAGCGAAGATGGCGTTTGCAGACAGTTTGTCTGCTTATGCGAGCAAAGAATGTGGTTCGTCTGCTACAAAGCGTCATTTGCAGACAAAAATAAAACAAAACACGGTACGTCATCCGCCAACGGTCTGAAAAAAAGGTGATTGTCTGCTACGAACGGGGTGCCGAGGTGGAGAGAAATTGGGTGCAAACGGAGATTGTAATCGTCTGCTATTTTATGTTGGAAGCCATTGACAATCTGCACTTCTTTTGCAAATCTCAAGTTGTTCGTCTGCCGTACATGAGCTGACATTGACTTGTGGGTGAAGGAGAACTAAAGAAAAGCATGTCAGAGGCTGCAAGACCTTTCTCACTACTTGAGAATTGGTGGGATGTTGTCACCAATACTTTGCCTGGCTTTGAACTCACGAACGGATAAAAAATGTCTCTTTGGTTGATTATGCGCTTGCTGTTGCGTCACGTCTAATCGGAGGCCGAGAACGCTCTTGCTCTCAGCTCGACCGAAATCGAACCCCAGGGACAGTCCCCGAGGCTAAGTGCTAGGATTGAGTAGCAACGTGCACCAGCGCAGGATCCAGAAGGGCTGAACATCAGGGTGAACCAAGACACTCGTCTGGACAACCGCATCCTAGACCTGAGGACACCCGCCAACCAGGCCATCTACAGACTGCAGGCTGGGGTGTGCAGCCTCTTCAGGGAGTCCCTAGCCGCCAGGGGCTTCATGGAGATACACACTCCCAAGATCATATCTGGTGGGTGGCCACGCAGTCACGGGGTGGCAAAGGCTCTCCCGCAATCAGATTGTACTCTGAACCTCTTGGTCCATGTCACTTTTAGAGCGATAGCTGTTACGGGCTTTTCCAACTACTGAAAATGATGTCCGTTGCTGATGTTGCAGTTGTTGATGTGGGATGTCCATCATCAATGTTAGCAAATCTTTGTAAAAAGCCGCCCACCGCCCGCTGAAATCAAACTTGGGACCGCTACCTGCGAAACAGGCACGTTACCACTGAGCCACGCCACGGCGTTAAACCATCCGCTACCGAAGCCAGCGTATCGCCGGGCGTGCCATCAGGGGCCATATTGTCAAAGCCGGCGATTCGCCGGGTTGCATGAATTTCTGTTTTAAAGAGCCATTTGTAGATGGCACACTATGTAGACTAGGGGTAGTGTAGTTGGATACATTGCCAACAGATGGCAAGAGTCATTCTGTTCACTTTGTTTGTTTGAGCTTGTTCTTTTGTGTATCGTCTTTTCCGCTCGATCGCTGTCTGCTTGGAGAAGATGGCGGCATCCAGTGTACAGTGAGGCCTTTCTGTCAATAAATCGTGGATATCCTCTTCGACAGCGATGATGGTGGGACGTCTAGTGAGGATAGTGAGTTTTCGGCAGAGTGTCGAACCGAAATTTTTATCGGTTCGGTTCCGGTTTGGGTTCACGGCTTTCGGTTCGGTTCCGGTTCAGTTCCGGGGAGCCAAAAATAACGGTTCAAACTGGTTCGAACCGGTTTGAACCGCTAAATTGAGAATATATTTTCCACGTTGTTCTGGCCATATACACTATTTACGCCGTAAAACGATTAACTCTTGAGCTTCTTCGATCGTCCGTGCAATTTTATCAAGAGGGGATTGCCACAACTTGCCTGAACGCGGCCTTAACGAAGTCCTGTCAGCACAGCGTAGCCGAAAGCTTCGGGTTACAAGTGAGGAGGCTGGAGGAGGGAGGCTTTCCATGTGAGATCGTTAAGGGGGTGGTAGAGGGCTTGCTAAAAAAGTTTCGTGGAGGTGGGAAGAGGAAAGAGGGGGGCAATCCAGATAAAAGACCAACGTTAGCCATAACATCAAAAATGTGGGGAAAAGCATGGCATTTCGGTTCTCCTTTCAGCTCCACAGAAATTAAGCAAGCTATGTGGGAGGGTGGAACGGGGTGACACACGGTTGGATATTTGTCAGAAAAAGCACGCAACAAAATACGTAGGATGCAGAGTGGGGGTGGTGTACAGAATTCCTCTGTCTTGTGGGAGGGTATACGTGGGGCAGTCGGAGCGATGCGTGAACGAAAGACTGAGGGAACATGCCCTGTCATTGAGGTTAGCCCCCTCTGGCGATCTTGCAGTGCATTGCAGTAGGTGTGAGTGTTTACCCTATTTAGACAACACCGTCATCTTGGCACGAAACAAAAAGAGAAAGACAAGGGAGATAACGGAAGCGTTTTTTATTTCCGAGTGTGACGAGGGTAAGTGTGTAAGTGCCCCATCGATAACCCTGTTTGAATCTGAGTTATCGTTATTACGATCAGCCATGGTGTAAGAGTAAGAATTCTGATTAGCGACGGTTGGAACTGAATCGGATGTGTGTCTTGTTGGTTTCGTGGTACGTGTGGGTTTTCCAATAATAAACCAGTTGCAAGTAGCGCTCTGTGGTGTATGTCTCTCCTACTCGTCCGTCGTTTTTAGCGCTTTTAACCCCTAAACATGTTCAACCAACTAGCCCAAATCCAAACCCTTCTGCAGCCTTTCCACTCTGGCTTGTCGACTTGCGGCCGGCAGCTAGTTCATTTCCACCATAGTAGAGCTTCGCTGGTCTTCCTTCTTCACCGGAGTGGAAAGGCTGATGGTATTCCCCAGAAATTGTCTCCTCCGTTCGTGTGTGCTAATTCGACAATTTTAGTTTTCACTTGTTAACAGCAACCCTTCACTGCTTTTATTTTGCACCCCGTGAAGTTTAAAGGGGTCATAAAACGATATCGGGTTGGAATGTTCATGACTTTGCAGAGGCATACTGGTCCTAGTCTGACCCAAGTATACTCGCAAAGGCCGCCACTGAATCAGAAGCTTCTTTGTCGCGGTGAAATTGCGAGGCCATAAATGAGACTATTTCTTTTAGTATTGCCTTCGAAAAGATTGATGACGTAATTGTGGGATCAAACCCACCCGCCTCACGACAGTCGAGCGCGGCTCATGGATTGGACAGGAGAACTGCGTGAGCACTGTACATCGGCTCGTAACAAGCAATGCCTCGGCGGACACTTGGGTAGTCGCTCGTGTCCAACCACTGCGGTAATGAGAATAGCCGAACTCTCACAATGCCTGAAGCTCCCAGCACGCGTTTTCTTCCTTTCCAACCCCAGCGCGGGAGTATGATTAACGTTGGCGGAATAAGACAGACACCAGGCCACGTGGCCGCTTCGGGCTCCGAGTTGAGGGGATGAATGATGCCCGTATTTCTTTAACTTTTTGGCGACTGCCATTGCCTAGCTAAAAAAAAAAGCAAAGCCAAGTTCAAGCAGTTATTAACGTTAGGGAGTGATCCTGAGTAGAATTTAGTGATGTATAGGAATCTTTTTATAGCTTCTTTAAGAGAAATACAAAGGGGGTCGAAACTTGGGCAACAACTTGAGAACGACGCTCGTGTGAGACTTACAGCCACTGCCATGGTTCGGCTGTCCCTCTGAGGTCACTAAAATATTTTTTTTTTTAAGTATTCCTTCCGTATACACATGTAGTTCTATCGAACGTCATATTAATGAGTCGCATTTAGTCATTTCAATACTTCTATCCTCGGCGACATGTTTCGGATGCAGTTCAGCAGCAACGAAAAAATGTTTGGGTGCCTCCATGATGTAAAATTGGTTTTGCAACATTTTTTTGTACTTTCAATAAATACTGCTAAGAAGTAACCCCTGACGTTTATAGCTTGCAAAATTATGGATTCTTTTTACTCTCCGCGCAATAGCAGATGCAGAAAAAATAAAGGAAAAAGACAGCTGTCGATTCCCTCCTCAACTCGCAATTTGAACAAGCGGCCACGTGATCTGACGCTAATTATATACCGTCAGTGTTCATCATAGTCATGCCCTAGGTGGCTAGGGTTTGGAAGGCAAAAGCTTGGGCTGAGCTTCAGATATTTTTAGAGTTGGGCTATTATCATATTTAATTGACATGAGCCGTTACCCGAATGTTTGACGATGCTGACTGGCAAGAACCCGTGCACTCGACTAGGTGTTATGAAAACCGCTTACGTCACGGTGTCACGTGACTCGGTGCAAAATCGCGATGACATGTTACGTCACGCTGTCAACAAGGCTAATGCATGTAGTGACTTCCTCAAATTAAATCGAGTTGACGCAGTGAGTCACGTGACGCCACGACGTCACGTGACATTACTTGACAACATGTATTGACACCCTGACGTCACATGAAAACGTGACATGGTTAATCATAGTGCCAATACAAAAGTGCCACGAAAACCCACAATTTACCATAAGTTGCAATTCTGTATATGACACTTTGATCAATAGAAATACAGCTGCCAATTTTTTATTCCCAATGTTCATTTTGTGAAACTAGCAAAAAATAAAATAATAAATTACCTTGAACCGTTTTAAACCGGTTACCGTTCTATTTTTTTTTCGGTTCAGTTCCGGTTCAGTTCCAAGATGGCGGCGACGATTTCGGTTCAGTTCCGGTTCGGCTAAAAATAACGGTTCTGTTCCGGTTTTCGGTTCGGTTCGGTTCCAATTCGACACCCTGGTTTTCGGAGCCTTCTGTCGACGACGGGAGCGATTCCAACAGCAGTTCTGAGTTTGAATCACAACAAGATAGCACTGGTTGTGCGACGCCTAAGCGACCGAGGCTGGAGTTCTTCACTATCTTTCAAACGAGGAAGAATCTGTGAGGGCCTAGTGATTTGTAGGCTTGAACAAACCACTTAAACATGTTTTCTGCACAGAGTTTTACTGTAAAAGCCTGTTATACAAGCAAAACAGTCACGCCTAGTGTGGCCCTGTTCTAGGAAAATAATGTGCGGCACACATGGCCCGGCAGCGCACGACGCACATGATAGCTAATGGGTTAATAACCTACCTTAAACTTGAGATTTTTTGTAGTACCCAATGCCCACTGCACTCGCTCCTTGAAAAAAATTCCTGTCATTGCACTTTCAATGCCAAGATCTCGTGCCGGAAGACTCACTTTGATTGCGCTCTGGATCAAAAAAGAAACAGAAGCGTTCAAGACAAAATGGAACAAAACAAAAGCGTTCGGAACAAGACAGACATCTGTTTTGTTCCAAACGCTTTTGTTCGTGCACCCTACTGCCCCATGGTGCGTAAACGCGACGCCGATGCCTAACGACTTCCTGTGACGTGTCACAGCTACCGCTGCCACTGTTATGTGGATGAACACAGGACTGCTTAATTTTTCTATTATTGCAAACCACCAAACTTGTAAATTTTGTATTTCATTTCATTAATTTATTTGAGCCTTAAATGCCCCTAGGAGAGGGGGGGGGAGGCAGGGGGGTGGCAAAATTAAACAATAAAATTAGACTATAAACATCACTTAAACAAATCTTCAAACCCACTTCAGACAGTCCACAAAAATCAGTCCCTGAGCATATCACGCTGCAATTTACCATAGAGAGAGAGCGACAAAAACTTATTCGGGCCGCCCATGTCCGGGCAGTGGCTACCACAGAGGTGTGGCTAGGTGGTGGAAGCTTGGAGTGAAAATATCAACAAATAAACTTACCTATATCAGTATAAAAAAAAAAAAAAGCTTGATTGATTAAAAACGATTGGTAAGCACAGAATGGCCTTCTCTCTTCCGTGGAACCTTCCATGGAAGAGAAGGGCATGCAGTAACCTGGCCTTTTTCCCTTCATGTGCAGCGGCGAGTGAGGGTGGTGCCAATGTGTTTGAGGTGTCCTACTTCAAGGGCAGTGCCTACCTTGCCCAGTCCCCTCAACTATACAAGCAGATGGCAATCGCCTCTGACTTTGACAAGGTCTTCACTGTTGGAGCCGGTGAGTGTTTGCTTCTGCCTCAATCCCTCCATGAATTTTTTTTTTTTCATCTGCTGGGAGTTGTTATGCAAAGTCTGCATAATAATAAACAAAAAATAAGAACAGGCATATCAATATGTAGAAGGGATCACAAAAATATACAAACTCATGGAATGGATAAATTTGTCTTGCTTTCTGTGTTTGACTCTACATAACTTTGGAAAAAGGCATGGACAATTCTGTGGTACTGTCGAGACCGGTTATAACGAAGTCAACGGGAATTGGAAATCACTTCGCTATATCCGCTATTCCGTTATAACCAACTTCGGTTAACGAAGTGCAAAAGGGAATGGGAAATTGTGATTGCTTCGCTGTAGCCGCTATTTCGTTATAACCGACTTCGGTGTAACCGGTCTCGACAGTAACTGTTTCACCGCAGCAAGTATGTGGCATATTGATACAACTAGGTTTGCTTCATATGCAAGGGCAACTTGTTTTATATGCAACATTAATGTCTGCTCAGTAGCCTCTTCTCATCTATAGAGTTCTTGTGGCGACTCGTGGGTGAATTTCAGTGTTCCGAGCGGAAGACTCCAATACACACAGACACTTGTGCGAGTTTGTGGGCTTGGACTTGGAGATGGCCTTCAACTATCACTACCACGAGGTGCTGGACATCATAGGCCAGATGTTTGTGGACATCTTCAAAGGACTACGTGACAGGCAAGCAACTCTTGTGAATCGGGGATTATGATACTTTGGAAATGGGTTGTTCTCCTGGTCATGAATTTTGATTATGTTCTATCGTTTGGTTGTTCCTAGGTATTCTGACGAAATTGCCGCTGTCAATCGTCAGTTCCCTGCTCCTCCATTCAAGTTCTTGGAACCCAGGTAGGATGGTGTCAAGCACTTTCTTTTGATAGTAGGTAATTGAAAGTCCATCTGTTCTGAAGGAACTTGGAAACACCAGCATTGCTCTGTAACTTCTGCTAAGAAAAGCCAAAATCTTTCGAAAGAAATTCTGGAAGTTACATTTACTGTGGGGGAACATTCACTTATTATATCTGTTACAGAGGCAGCAGAAGGACTCTTGTGCTATTTCTCTTTCATGTGATTTAAACAGTTGGCTTTATCTTTGTCTTCTTACAGAGCATTTGTGCTTGTGTGGTGAAATATTCCTTGCTAGTGCTCTCCAACCTTTGGTAGCTAAGTGAATTCTGAACTTAGTTGTAAATTTATAGTATCGGAACAAATTTGTTTCATAAATAAAAAACAAAAGTGCATCTGCCTGAAGTGTCACTCAGATTTGTGTTGTGTACACACAAATCAAATTTTGCACAATTTGCATAACTTGTATACTTTGTATTTTTGTAAAAACTATTTCGGCAGGCTCAACTTTTTTTTCACCCCTTAAGTGCCAATTTTTTTTTTTTCAAAAGTAACCTAAAAGTGCCATATTTTTTTTATTTTGAATTATTATTCCTCTAGTACTACACATAAAATTTGAAGTTTATTACGCAAAAATCAACGGAGGCAAAAAAAATATTTGCCAACTAAAATGAGTGCTGCCATCTATGATCAGCGCTGCAAAACTACTCGGACGAGCCTAGCTCGTCCGTGGAATTAAGGGCTACCAAGAAAAACCACCGGACGAGCTGAGCTCGTCCCTGGCATTTTTAGCCAGAAAGTGGCCGATGAGCTCAGCTCATTCAAGGCACTTAAGGGGTTAGTTATTTTTGCTGCAAATTAAAGGTGAAACTTGCCTTTGACAGATTCAGTCACTTTTACTGGCTTCCTGATTAATGTCAGTATTTACAAAAAGGAAACAAAAGTATAAAAGATAGGTTCTCTGGTGCAGATAGACTTTACTTACAACTACAGAGTATTCCAAAATTAGATTTTTAGAAAGCAAGAAAACAAGTTCTTCTGTGTAAAGTCGCAAAGCTTTTGCATGTGATAAAAACTTTTAAAAAATCCTGAAGAGGGGTGTTTCAGGCAATAGAGGCCATTTTCTATAAATGAGCTACAGCTGTGGGTTTTAATATTTTCGAAACCTCTTTTGTAGAAAGTGAGGAAGCCCATACTAAAGTCCTGTTCACACTAAGAGCCCCAGCCTTACAGCAACATTTTATTAAGTGGCCACAGTTACCCTCCAAGTGCCCTGGAAATGTGCACTGGACACAACTATGCATTCATAAAAACGTGTTTAGGGAAACAGAAATTGCTAGTGTAGTTCTTACATTCTCGCAAGCAAAGCCTGCGCCTGGAATTCCCTGAAGCTGTAGCCATGCTTAGAGCGGCAGGAGTGGAAATGGATGATGAAGAGGACCTGAGCACCCCCAACGAAAAGTTGCTTGGCCGACTGGTGAAGGCAAAGGTAAGATGCCCAGCTTAATCACTAAATTCAACCAGCTGGTTAGTTTGGAGCAATCCAATTCGCTCTTCATGCTCATGCTTTTAGGGGAGCAATCATATTTGCTCTTCATGCTCATGCTTTTAGGATGGTAAATCCTATGGAGATCACAAGATCATAGTGCTCCTAGGCTGCTCCACATCCACCAAAGGATTTTGGCACAAAGCTTTCACAATGACACACTGTGCTCCACTTTACGAGATGCTTGCACTCCTGGAGAATACTTGCACAAGCACTCTTGCAATATATTAGTGGTTCTGGCTACAATACGAGATTCTACACAGCGGTTGCGGAATTATAAATGCATTTTTCTTAGTGCTCCTTTTTCCCTCTTGCTCGTGCCGTAACGACCGAGCGAGCTCCCAAATAGCAAAGCAAGGCGCAACAAGATTGAAAGACAGCGTTCCGAGAGGAGTGTGCATCATTGTTCCCTTTCTCCTTGCAGTATGACACAGACTTCTACATCTTGGACAAGTACCCGCTCAAGGTGCGGCCCTTCTACACCATGCCAGACCCGCACAATGCCGTAAGTCTGTCACCTCCCACCTTAAATCATTCTCATCACTTTTTGTGCATTCGGTCAGAGTACAGCCACATAAAACTTATGCTCAGGCACTTTGTGACGCTGTTATAGACTATGTACTAACCCAGCAGAGGAGTACGAGATTCCAGTTTTACGGTGTCAACGTAAAATAATAAAACATCCCCACGCTTATGGAAGCACATAGCAACGATTGTCCTTGAATTTTACGAGTGAATTCCGGCACAAGCAAGCACTTGTCAATAATTTAGAAAAATTATTTTAGCTAGTCTTCCGTGTGCTCTAGACCGACACGTGGGCTTGACGTCACGGAGCTGCGGCGGCGCTGCGATCGCGCCGGAGCAGAGTGGTGTGGGCAAAAGGGCACGCGTTTCGCACGGGCGTCTTGGTATTTCAGCATGCCGCGAAGCTGTGTTGCCGTTAATTGCATTGAAAGGTACAAAGAAAGTAGCGGAGTGAGTTTCCACAAGTTCCCGGCAGACTCTGAAAGGCACTGTAGGTGGATAATACCCTTCGATCGAAAAGAATGGTCGCCTTGCGCGAACGTCCGTTTGTGCGGCAGGCACTTTCTTGAAGACAAGTGCGGCTTCCATTTCAATTTCCGTCCCGAGGTTTGCTTGTGGGCAGGGAAACCGTCGTCTGATCGAGACCACCCGGATTTTGTTTCCACGGTATTTGTGCACAAAGCACCGGCCAAGCGCTCGTCGGAGGCTCGCTACGCCCGTGCTACCAAGCAGAAGGGGATCGGCGACAGAACGGCAGTGTGGTGGGCGTTTCCGAAAAAAAGTAACGAAATACATTACTCGTTCCTTGCAAATAAAAGGTACGCGTTACCGAGCTACGTTACATAAAAATAAAAGGAACGCTTTACCACTACTGAGAAAAAGCAACGCACGTTAGTTCCCGCCGGCAGTGCGGAAATTGACTCGAAGGAATTGTAGGCCTCGAGAGACTTGTACGCCTGCACACGGTGTCGGCCGTGAACTGGCTTGGCGAAAGAACTAAATAAATGACGACGTGAACCGTTGGCTTCGGTGACAGCAACTTCACGTCGGATGTCCAGCGGACCTTGCTTGCGGCGTACGGATCCTCGAAGGCAACGCCATCCACGCACAGTTTGTTTCAATACCGCTGCCGTTCAAGCTCGGGTAGCGTGCTCAAATAGTTGGGCATAGCATACGACATATGTTGTCAGGAAATACGAACCACAAATAAAGCTAGAAGCGTCCCTACAACGTTAACAACGAGCGCACGCCACACAACGCAATGGCAAAAACACAGAGCCGAGCTGCTTTTGCTCACATAGCTTCCGCGCATGCGCGGCCTTCCGGCCGTGTTGGTAAACAGAGCCACTCCGCGTGTCCGTCTATATCTTTGCGATACAGCTGTGTATCGAGGAAAGGCACCCATCAGGTAGGCGAGCAAGTCAGTTGGGTCATCAGTCAAATGGTAATGTACTTTCCAGCTATAACTGATTAGTCACAAATGAACGTGGAGTTATTATGAGAGCATGTGAAAACCACATAGTTTTACGACCTTACAAGGTTATATTAATGTCCCGTCATGGCCCTTCATTCCCACAATGACCGATGGCTCTCTTTACACCAATCATTGTTTGTGGACCCGGTACAGGGGATTCAAAAGTTTAGTGTCAGTTGAAGAAGCAAGAACTAACCCATGCACACATCTTTTTAATGCAGAAAGTGTCCAACTCTTACGACATGTTTATGCGAGGAGAAGAAATCCTGTCGGGGGCTCAGCGAATTCACGACCCAACCTTCTTGACCGAACGGGCCAAGGAACACGGAGTTGGCAAGTCTATACTCCTGTACTTTTAGTACTACCATGCAGTGGCATAGCCAGAAGAGGGGCTTATGAAACTTTATCCCACCCCAAAAAAATAGAAATCTAACCGACCCTATAATACAGAGTAATCAACTTGAGAGGAAACCTGAAAATTCAATCGTATCTGGACTAGACACTGATCGTTGTTAGTCTAGACACTCTATAAACTGATTGTTATAAACAGTACATTGTTATATTTGGTATTGTTATAAGTGGATTGCACTGTATATACGTGCATTTCAACACTTTTAATAAGGTCAAGTTTTCAATGACGTTACTACAAGTACGTACATGCATTTATTTGAAGTGTGAGAAATGTTTCTTCTCGGTATTTCAATTTTGCTACATAGCCTTCCAGAGGAACGAAAAGAATGTGAACGGCAACATAAAATTACTATATAATGTATATTTGCAATGCAACTCTTGCCCCACAGATGTAAGCAAGATCAAGGCCTACATAGACTCGTTCCGGTACGGCGTGGCACCGCACGCGGGCGGCGGAATCGGTAAGCGACAGCAACAAATCCCGCTTCTGAATCGGTAGGGAAGGCTGCTACATGGTCATTACTTTATTGGTACTATTCAGAAATATTTTATGTATGCAAACTGCGATAACGCAACTATAGTCGGTGAGAGGTTAAGAGTAAGGTTTTCACTCTAACAGAGTGAACGCTGGAGAAAAAATTGCCCGACACTTACCGTCGGTGCAGAACAACAGATTGCGCTACCGAACATTGCTGAATATGGTCGAACGACGGACGGCGCTTGTCAGCCACTCGTGAGCGATGGCGTCAGCGATGTGGTTGAGTGGGTCTGGTCAGCCGTTCATCCATGCGGGACCCCATTGCTCACGAGTGACTGACAAGTGCCGTCTGTCGTTCGACCATATTCAGCAAGGTTCAATAGTGCCATCCATCATTCTGCGACATCGGTAAGCGTCGCAACCTTTGATCACTTTTTTTAATATGCAAATCTGCTGCACATGAATTTAATTTCGGGTTTTTCGGGATGCTTAGAGCTCGCACATTGAGTTATGACCATAAAACGAGGATCTCAAAAAGCACTTTTAGGGACTCTTTCTTTATTAAAATTTGGGCTAGTTGGTTCTGCATTGTGAAATTAAAAACAGCGCAAAGATGAAGGACGAGTAGATGCACTGTTGTCTGTGTTCATGGTACTTGTCCTTCGTCCGTCTTCGTGCCATTTTTAATTTCACAATACTGTAAGTAGTGCAGATATATCAGATTTTTTTTTACATTATTATTCAATAATTAAAAGTGCTCTTGCTTTTGACATGCCTGCCAACCTGCTAACCTTGCAATATATTCAAAACAATTTTAAAAATAAAATTAATAGAACTGACAAGGACCCCTGTTCCCCGTAGGCCTGGAGCGTGTCACCATGTTGTACCTGGGGCTGGACAACATCAGAAAAACATCCATGTTCCCCCGCGACCCCAAGAGGCTGACCCCTTGATCGCCATGAGCCCCACCCTGCGGCTACCTATGCCGTTCGCTCAAGCGGGGTTGTCAAGACTAATGCGGTGCTTCTCTTGCGCAACTCCGACAAAATAAACATCTGTCTCCCTCTGTTATAAGACAGATTAGTCATAAAATGTTTTTTTTTTTTTTTTTTTTTCGTTGGGCACACTCAATGAAAAGGAAGGGAAGCTCAATGAATGTGACAACTTTGTGGCAGGTATGCGAGTTCGCTCGAATATATGAATTTTTTCAATCCTACGGAAGATCAGGTGCATATACTTAGAAGCTAAAATTCATGCCCACAATTAAATTCTCCCGAATTTTGCGATCTGGTTGCTGGGCCAAACTGCACCAAAGTACTCGTCCTGTTAGGTTTCACCAAACCGGGAGGAATTTGTGCCAACATTGCACCGAGCGTTAATTTCACTTTCTCGATGCTAAAACGAATACAGCTCAATCACTGATACACTGCAAGATTGTTACAGTCAAGTTGTGCAAACTTTCTAAACTTTATATTATTGCACTGCTATTCAACTTTATATTCGTATCGAACGCTGGCACTACTTTGATGTACATCAATGTTTCTCATTGTTTGTGGTCAGTTTGGGCAAGATAGTTGGCTCTGTAGAGTGCACTTGTAACTGTGCATTGGTGCACTGTGGAAAAGCAGTGCCCACGGAGCAGACGTCGCGATCCTGCTTTTCTCGCTTTGCCGCAGCGCAGTCGCGTCTTTAGGCGAAAGGCACTCCAGAGTAGGATGGTGCAAGCATTGAGCATTCCGAAAAAGAATGGGGCTCAGTCAATGCTGATGTGGCAACTCTACCTTGCAGTGGAATTTTCTCAACAAAAACTGCAGCTATTTTAGTAAAGACTGATATCCTGAAGAGTTGTATGCATCATTGGTTGTGCACCAATAAAATAAAATAATTGGGTTGTGGGGATATTTATACAGCGTGTAGTTGGTCTGCCATTAATGTTGCGACGAGTCACACGCTGTAGATGAGCAATTTAGCCAGTGCAGTACAACCGCTAGCCTGGGGTGTTTGACGTGCACCACGCAGTAGTGATACACGACCGCACGCCGGTACGATGCTCATCCAGATCGAAACGGGCAGGGGTGGGGCTCGAACCCAGGATACCTGGGTTCTGCAGCGCGAGCTTTCGCTCCACGCACGTCGAGCTGGGTGTGCGCTTCAGCCCACTCGGCCACCGATCCCCCCTTGTGCACCAATAATGCATGCATCATGGTTGCGTGCATTATTGTTTGCTTTCAAAATTCGACTTAACTATGGCTGGGTGGCACTCAAACAAGGGTGTTGTTTTTAGTCTTTGAAGATTTATTTTAAAGACGTAAAATTTCCATAATGCGGTTTGTGCAGGTGAGTTGTATGGCCAGGGGGCATAATATAGGGGGTTAATCGTCATGATAAGTCGAATAATTGACTAAAATTTGTTCATTCCCTTCTTAATTAGTGAAAATAAACATTGTTCCATTTAGAAACTTGCTGAGCATCATCGAAAATCGCAATCTATTTTTTAGAAAGACTGAGCAAGTAGTGAGCTAAAGTTGCCACATGTGCAACAGGCACAAGGCTGGCGGTGAGAAAACTCGGATAATGATAGACAGAAAAAGCACTCGGGCGAGTTATCACACTCGTAGCCTTGCGCCTGCTGCAGGAGTGGTAACTAGCACACCTCCGAGCTTCCCATGTGCTTCAAGTCCTAAAATTAACTGATTTAGCAGTTTTTGATGACACTCAGCAAGTTTCTAATTAGAACCACATGTTTGTTTTGAACTATAGTATCTGTGAATAGCAGTTCTGGCCAAATATTTCTGAAGTGAATATCGAACAGCTTCTCCAAACCTTTCACTACTGTTGCACCATGCTTAAGCAAAAACACTGTTCAACCCATGAAGATTGCTCCCAAGCTTCTATTTGTCCATTCATAAGCTAAATTTATTCTAACTACTATATGCACTGGACCTCAAAGTCCAATGCCATAAGATGGCAAGTAGACAATGGATAAAAACAAATCTTGCTACATGCAAATATTTTTAGCCCCAAAATATGAAAAAAAAAAAAGAAAAAAAAAAAGATGAACAGAGAATTACGGCGCAAACAAGCTGGTGGTGGTTTAACATTTGACTATAGACACTTTTGAGACTTTGTGTTTGTTCGTCCCAGGGTCGGGGTTGTTAGTCAAATGATAAATACAGTTTGTTAGGGCATCTCTGTTCTTGCATAAAAGCCAATTTAATTTTGAAATTTTTACTGCAATGTAGATATCAACGTTCACAAAGTTTCCGTTTATTTTTAAATATACCAGTCGCACGTGCGCACCATCCCGCTTTGAAAGTATGATTTTCTTTTTTCTTGCGAGCACTTAAATGCAATATTTATACTTTTCAAAGTACCATATTTACTTGCATAATGAACGCACCCTCGACAATGGGCATCAATATTTTGACTTTATTTTTCCCTCACATAATGAACGCACCTCCAAAAGAGCCATTGTCTGTGGTCCGCTTTCGAACAGTGAAATCGTGAAAGTGGTTAGGCCTAAGAACGGTCGCGTCGCTCTCCGTGCCGAGTGAGCTTCATAGGTCGCTTTTCCTTCAACAAAAGGCATGCCGAAAGCACCGTAAAAATGTTTTCAATTTATTGAGCATGGGTACTGTGGCACGCTCACGACCAGCCATGGGCGCGCCTCAGTCAGTGGAGACGTGCCTCATCACCGTCGTATCCTATTGGCACCTAAGATGACATTCACACAAAGTGTGCAGATGCAAAAATTTGACCCTATGTAATGAATGCACCCCCGAATATGTGTCAATTTTTTAGGGAAAAAAGTGTGCATTTTTCGAGTAAATATGGTATCGATTGCAGCGGAGTACCCCCGTTGAGTGTGCTTCTTACAAAGCGCCGGTGCATTGTGGAGAAGCAACACCCGCTGAACTTTTTTCCGCATGTGTCGCTTCTCCGCAGTGCCCCAGTGCTCAGCAAGAAGTGCACTCAACAAGGCTAATCCGCCACGATCAAGTTAAAAATTATTAATATCACAGCCCATCTCGAAGCGAGCATTGAATAGTGTATTATCAAAACTGCTTAAAAAGTTAATGACCATATCTGGCTTCATTAGCAGACTTATGACAATTAGCTCTTTACATTATGCCCAGGCCACATAACTCGCCTGCACAGAGAGCATTAGTGTAGGTTTCATGGCTTTTTTTTTTCAACAAATCTGTAAAGCCTAAAAAAAACACCCGGTATATAGGCCTCCAAATGTTTGAGAGCACAGTGCATGCAGTTCAAATTACGACAACATGAGCTTCAGCAATGTACAAATTCAGCTGGACTTAAGAAAGCATATATTCATTGCCCACTTGCATCTCCATAAAATGCTACTTCTAAACAACAAAAGCCTCCGTAAGCGATTTAGAAATTTTTCAGTTTTACCACAACTCGGAACTTGAACAAAGCATCGTAAGTTCTCACTTGGAAATATTATATTTTAACATTATTTCAGTGGAGCACTGTTTTGAAAAATTAATGAGAATGAAGTATATGTTTTTGTTGCAAAACTCCTTCCCCTACTTCAAAATGAACTTTTGGCTGCTCCAAAATGACTTGGACCAATCACATCACTGCAAATTACAGCTGTAGCAGTCTATGAAATTAACCAGAGATTTGGGTTAACTTATGTGATGTGGCCTAAGGCAAGAGTCAAGTAAAAGAGCTGCCAAGCCAGCGGCAAATCCAAGGGGGGGGGGGGGGGGGGGGCGACAAGGGCGGCGGCCGCCCCCCCCAAACAAAGTCGACCACCCTCCCTCCCCCCTTCTCAGAGGGCAATTTGACATGGGTGGACCCCCCTTTGCACAAGAATGGGAGAATAGTATCCTTAAAATTTTTCCGCCCCCCCTCCCCCAAAACGGAGTTCTGGATCCGCTCCCGTGCCAAGCAGAAATAACTAACACCTTGAACCCCCGAGAGACTGGCACAAAGGGGGACAAGTGCATCGCACTGTAATTTGCACAACTCATACTAGTTTTCTGCTCTATGTAAGTGAACTCTGCAAACTTGAAATCTTGCTATTAGGTAGCAGAAAAAATTAAGAAATTTACTGATTTCTGGTGGTGGTCATCTACGTAACACTTGGTGTGTGCATTACCAAATGTACACACCAAGTTTGTGGATGTGCTACTATATTACATATTTTGCCTTCACCAAGAAATATCTATAAACACAGATGAGCTCATCAAGGCAAGTCCTGGTTTACACCATAGTTTCACATTGCTGAAATTTTAGGTTCCATATTGATAAGCTGCTAGTGTAACCCACTCCTACTTAGGTTTCTTTAGAACCAATCTACAGCAACCAGATTTGGGAATCTTTTATATTTTCGAAATTGTTAGGACATGCTAAACGAAGATCCAGCAAGTGTTTCACTCACGGCAGCAGCACACCGCAGTGAAGTGATACTCACCTCGGTGGTGTTGTGGACGTCGCTTTCCAGGAGTGCCGAAAGAAAAAGCTCTTGCACACTAATGTGCAGAGATAGTAGCAACATATATTTGCAAAGTCGATAAATAAAATGAATTCCAATTCAGAGGTGCATTGCAATCTTCCTTTTAGGCTGAATTTGTCTACCTATGGTGAATTAAAAATTTATTCTATAACCTCCGTTTGATGGGAACATTACTTTCTTCACAAGTTTGCTTGTACCTTTCATGTGGAAAGGTGTCCAAAAGCCAGTTGGCAATTTCTTATTGTAACATTGTTTATAGTCAAGAAGATACCAAGAGTATCACTACGCAAAGAGACCTTATTTTAAATCCAATTATTAATTAAATTTTTTCTAGCATGGGTGTTAACCCTTTAATCAGAGCCGTATATGGGGAGAGTTTGGTTAGTCTATAATCTCGTCACTCTAACGTCCCCCTCCCGAGGGAGCCAATCAGCCCACGGTGCAGAGCGAGAGGCGTGAGCACACGTGCATGAACTTTTGGCTGCTCCCAGCTGAGCGGGAAGGGCCGCCATTTTCATTCATTCGCTCGGCGAAACGCATGAGAACGATGTTCAAATTTTGGTTCTTTTCTTTTATTTGGCAGGCTCTGTCAAAAAAATGACGTAGTGCTATTCCTCGTATGCTTAAAAAGCTATTGAATGAAGTTTCTCCACATTTGAACGCAAAGTTTGACTCTGGCGAAAAAGAAATAAGCCCGTAGCAGACGATGCGTAACCTCAACAGTGCTCTGTGCCGACAGCGTTCCGTCTAAATGGCGGTCGTCTCCTCTTTGTTCTCTTCCTTCTTTCTCCCTCCTTTGGCGCTCTCCTCCCTTTCCTTCACTTTTCTCCTCTCCAGTGCTTTCATCGCCACACCCACTGGCCAGACTCTCCCAATACTATATGACTCTGCCTTTGATACCTAGCATTGCCTAGGAGTAACAACTCAAGAATTACTGTAAACGACTTTTTTCCCGGGCTCAATATTTCGCGGTTTAGGTCAAAGCTGAAATTTTTGAATAATTCGCGGGTTCTATTTTTCGCAACGCGGTTGGATCTCAATATAGATTCCAATGTGTTTACATTTTACCGGAATCGTTTGCGGAACCTATTTTCGCAAAACTTTTTGCGAATTCGCGAAATTCGTAAAAATTAGGTCCTCGCAAACATTAAGTCGTTTACAGTATTTATTTTCTCTTGTGGCATGTGCGCCTCACTAACTTTAGCAAAATCTGCTGCATGGGTAAGAATACCTGTGCTAGCAGTAGAGGAACGAAATGCATCTTCCGAATAGATCACTAGGCGCAAATGTGACAAGGAAGACCGGCGCAAAGATTATAAATTCAGTATTGCCTTTCTCTACGGTACAAAGTTGGAAATGCGCCTGGGCCTTTTCCCATGTCGTAACTGCTTTCATTCGTTCGACGTCAAGTAGTGCCACAAATGCCCAATATTGCTCTCGAGCAATACTTCGAAAACATGCTTACAAAAAAAGATGATTTTTTTTTTTTTTTATGATTAGATTTTTGTTATTTTGTGTGTTCTAAAACCATGCGAGGGTTTGCAGTTTTGGGCATGAAAGGGTTTAACTGAAGGTAGAACTGTAGATCAGGACAAAAATATATTTGTTTATGTACCACCAAACTGTTCATTCTCACATTTTGTACAAATTATGTGATTCAATATTGTTTTGTAGTAGTATAACCATTAAAGCTATAAATGCTTTAATCTCTTGGTGCATTTGGTGCAAGGCATCTACTGCACCAAATGCCATATACAGCAAAAATGGCAATAGTGCTTGTGTAATATTGTCTATTTGTTTACTTCCCGAGTCCACATCAAGTCCTTCATAATTTGGTACTGTAAACATCAACTAGGGTAAAGAAAATTTAATGGTGGCTTTATGACAAAACGAAGTCCTTAAGGGCCGACGACCAGACTCGAGATTCTGCAAGGCAGAATACCCTCCTCACCATGGGGAAGGAGGAAACCGGCAACGGTGGGCAGTGTAGAAAGGGGGAGAGGAGGAAGCGCGAACTGGTCGTCGGTCTTTAACAAATTTTTCTAGGCTTATTTTTTTTTTTTTTTTTTAGGGATTGAAGCATCTTGCAAACACCATACCTCAATCAAGGAAGCAACAATACCAGTGCAAATTTTATTTCGAGGTACTTGCAGGATACACACAGCAAGAAATTAAGTGCCACTGCACAGACACAGCCACATTATACAGGAATTGTGAAGGAAATTGTTCAGCGAGAGTACTGCAATGCTACAGCAGAATAACAGCACTAAGCTCTATTTGTGCGCGTAGAACAACAGCATTTCAATGTGACGCGTGCCCACTTTGAGACAATTGAGGCAAATATCCACGTGTCAGGGGTACGGTTCTAAGCAGTGCTGCACCCATATTCACTGCTTGCAACTAGTGCCCTTGTTATAGTCAGTGACAAAGAGAACGCCAGGAAGCGTCTTTCGATAGTACAGCCCCCAGTGCGTGCTCCACGTCTTCCGCTGCATTTTGACTGCGCGCGTGCGCCCCAGGTGCGGGGCGCACCTGGGGCGCACGCACCTTCTCAAAGGTGCGTGCGCTTGTCTACTCGTCAAAGGTAGAAAGCTAGCGCTGGAGGCGGAACAGCTGAAGCTCCTCCCTGCCCTCTTCGCCTTGTCACCGACTACAGCAACGACAAATACTCTATGCACACTCTACCGTCAACGAGACACTCGGGCACAAAACGTTCTCATCGCCATGTAAGGAGGTAGAAAATAGTCTCTATCTCTAGCCCCCCATTGTGGCCACACATAGTATAGCATCTCAAAATATCTGAATAAATAAAAGTGGCAGGTCGTGCCTCTTCCATGCTATATATTTACACGGAGAACTTGCTGGATTACACTAACACTGGAGTTTCGGTTTCGGATATGATCATGTCGGACACAACACCATGACTCGTGCGGTGCTTTCCGTTTCATCCAAACAGCCGTCGAAGCGCGGGAGCTCGCAGCATTCGGTCTGCTTGTCTCGTTTACAAATAATCTATGTTGCCAACTTGTCGTAAACTTTAAAATGCTCAACTGTCGTAGGCTATCATAACAATACACGATGGTGAGAATGTCCGAGACACGCGGAAAACAACTAACGTCTGCAGCGAAGGACTATGGTCGGCATACGTCATAAAACGAGGATCTTGCCACTCAGGCCGCGACTAATCAGTCTCAGCAAGATGAACCCTACCTTCAGGATACTCATCTCGACATACTTGCAAAAGTAGAATAGAACAAATTGTTTTGTTGCTGAAGTTAAATTATTTCCAGTTCTTTTTGTGCAAAAAATGTTATTGCCATTCAACTAGCTTTGTTTTATGTCAACGTGTTATTAGTCAACCGGGCTTACAAGAATGGAACTAAACTGCACATACATAATTGTCCTCCATGAACAAAAACTTACTTCAAACCAAGCTTACAAAAAATTTTCTAAATGTGACCTACTGTACCCCCTACTAAAAAAAAACAACAACAGAAAAACAAGAAAAACCACACACAAGGGTAAAGCCTCTTTTAGTTACCTCATCTCCTGGATTTTCTCAGCATGATCGTTCACCGGCTTGCCTGTGAGCTCACTCTTATTTCAGCTATGTACACACTTCGTACAGCGCAATACACCCATCCATTTTCAAGAAAAACAAATGCACGCCTTACAAACATCTGAACTTTGAAAACAAACTCAAAATGGCAGTTCCACAGAAGACAATCTTTCAGCCCGCCTCCTAACAAAGAAAATGCTTGTTCAAAAATTTTCACATGTGCCCTGTGATTAGCCATTAACAGCCACAATAAGGTAGCCTTAGACACACTACAATTTATTCATAAAAAATGCTACAATGAAAAATAGAAGTCTTTTGTACAAATGCTAGTGGAGAATGTAAGTAGTTCATGAAAACAAAATATTCCTATCTTACTCAATTTAGAATATTTTTTTCGCATAAAACAATCATTCATTTTAAGTTCACTGCACCATTTTCAGATTGGGGTTGTCAGAAGTCTAGCAATTGTTATTATAATCCACTTTGTTTCAACTTAATTTTTTATGCATCTTTATGCATAATGCACGACCTAATCTTTCCAGCAACAATGCACCAAATCAGCCACCAAATTTTTACCAAATTATAGATTATGAGGACAGATCTACCGCTGCAAACCAATTCAGTGTTTTCACTATCATCCTGAATAATTAAGGACACATAAAATTACAACCAAGACCCAGTACTGCATCAGAGCACAAAAAATATCTTGGAATGAAGAAAACTTTTTCTCTTTCATTGCTGACAATGGTATTTTCAAAATAGAAATTCATATCTTTACAAGTCTCATTAATAACAACTTACTCGTGGTTAAATGAGCCACTCAGAAGGAATTTCCTGAAGGATCTCAAAGTAACCTACAACAAATATTTCCAGCAAAACATTAAAAAAACACTTAGTAGTACGTTACAACCCACAGTGAAAGACTCGCTAGTTTAGACCGGATGCATCATAAAAGGGTCACCCTGCAACAATACTTCTGTAGACTGTTGCAGGTTAAGAACAGTGGAACAAGCACCTCTCCTAAAGCCCCCTGCTCGCCATGATTGATGGTTTCCTCATCTCCCCTCCTTCCTCTCTAGCGTTCGCTCTGGTAAAGCAAAAAGAGTAGAGGGCTTTGTGGGAGGAGCCGTCCCTGTAATTCTTAACCTGCAAGAGACCACAGTTCACAGATTTCCAGCCAAGAGAGATCTGTGCGCAGAAATTAAATACTAAAAGGAAAACTGTGTTTACACAACCAAACAGAAGTAAGCCTCGAAAAAACATTACCTCTTCCAAATGGCACAGAAGATTTTTGGGTGTACCTTCAACTGACTTCTTAGGCCGCCTCATCCGTGGGCAGCAAGAGGAATGGCACCCCCTTTTGTGAGATCCATCTGGCAGACACATTGATGCGAGAAAGCAGAAGTGCAATAAGAGAAATACTAGACGTCGTCGTCGATAGGCTGTCTGGGCCCTGGCAGCACTTTCTTATTTCCCAGCCTCCTCTTCTTTTCTTGTATCATGATCTCAAACTCAATCCTGGAAGCAAATGCATGCGTTACTGGCATGGCAGTTGCCAGAACTTGTAACGCGGAGAGCAGGCAACAAGGGGGAGACCACTTTGGCAAACAGATAATTTAGTGAATGCATTACTAATCTATTATTTCAGGTCCCCACCTCTGCCCTTTGTCTCAAAGCTGTCTCCTCTTGTAGCTGCACATGACTGAAAATAGGTGCCGTTATTCTGCATTTAACAACTGTGTCAAAAGACAGTAAGTGGTAGAAATAAAAGCACTTCCATTACAAATTCAGTTTCCTGGCTGGGGACAGATAAATGAAATTAAAGAGGAGTCAAAACAAAAGGGGATTCTAGGACTGCTCCCTTCCAAGTATGTTCTGCCTCATTCCTCTGAAGGACGCAGGTGACACTTAGCCACTTAGCCAGGAAGACCTGAGGCAGCACCAAAAAAAAAAAAACAGTTTATGATTGTTGCCAATGCTTCAGTTACGATGATCAGGCATCTCACAGCTATGCTGGCACCGAATACAGTACCTACATCAAAAGACAAGGCAGTCGTCTATTTCTGTTCGCTTATTATCCCTTTGCTCAAGCTAGTCTGATGGCCGCATTTCTCTTTTGGCTTTCCCCTTTCCGATGAGGCTCTAAAGCCTTCTCAGGGATTACACATAAGCACAATTTTCTAAAATGAACACTGCCACCGCATGCCAACACCAGTGCTGTTTTAAACTCGACAGGCTAATCCCCTATTGCCGGTGCCAATAGACGAGGGACATGGTCACTTCGCTTGCAGATACGCAATATGCTCCTCGAGAAGCAGACAACCATTTGCACTGTCATGTCGGAACTTCTTGAAAATAATATGACCGCAGTATTTTTTCAGTTTACCATTAAAGGCACTATTCACGTTGTTCAACCAAGTCCAACTGCTGATCATAGACAGTTTGGCTGCGGTTTTTCCCAGAGAAGTGTCATCTGCAGCTGCTAGAAGAGCAAGATGTCATTTAATTAAAAGCAGTCGTAGCGCAGTCGTTCAGAAGCCTCATACGTTTAAAGGAAATGCTGCTGATGAAAGAGCAACTGACATCATTACCCCGTGACTACACACATTACAGGTAAGCTTGCAGAAAGCTTTGCCACAACAAACAGCATGTTAAGGGCAGTTAAAAGCAAAGAATTACCTGCAAGGCGGGGTATGGAGCGTGCCTATCCTTCGACAATGCGCTCGGCATCAAATCTTATGGGTGTTAAAAACAAAGACAAAAATGTTAGTTGAAGTTGTGCCACAGTTGCCAGGTGAACAAACTTTACAGGCATTCAAGGATCTCTGAAACCAAGCTACTAAAGTACACAACTCAGTTTTTGCCAGATTCAGCTCATTGAGTGCTATGGACATCTAACACCGAGTTCAGCGTGAGGCTAATACAGTCAAACCCGACTATATCTAACCCGTTTACATCGAATTATCCTTTATATCGAACAATTTTTGTGCACAGTAATGTTACAGAGATAATATATAGCAAAAACTATGGTTACATCGAACAAAATAGCAGCCGCTACCGATATATCGAACTGCCAAGAGCGCCGTTTTGCTCTGCAAGCTGGCTTTCCCCCAATGCAAGTGGCTGCATTGGGAAAAAGCCAGCTTGCATAACACACTGGCTTGTTGTTGTTTTTTCCAGGCGGCCGCGTTGATTGTTTGGAAGAAAAAAAAAATCTCTTTTGCGGAGGGAACGGCGAAAGGGAGCTCCGTGCTTAGTCTCCCCGCTTGGAACAAGAAAAAAGCCAGCTTGCTCTGTTAGCTGGCTTTCCCCCCACGCAGCCGCCGCCTGCCTTAGGGGAAAGCCAACTTGCAGAGCAAAGTGGCGCTCTGCAAGGAGAAGGTGCTCCTGCTCAGACCTGCTCCATGCTCTCGGCAGGGTTCGGCGCTAATGCGCAAATATAAAAGGCAGCGGCCTTAGCATTTTGAAGTCTGTCGATAGCGTAGGAAAATATCATTATCGCAAATGCAACGAAGAAAAAGCAGCAGAAGATGCAAGACTATTTCATATTGTAATATGTGAACAGAAAGTAGATTTTTGAGTCAAATTCAATCAAATTTTTACATAGAATTATCCGCTATATCGGGCTGGTAGACATTATTATGCGAGTTTGATATAAACGGGTTTGACTGTAGCAGCGTGACAATAGGTCGCACAAAATTAAGCATGCCGCTATTGATAGCTATACAAGTGCATTTTGAATTTGTTAGAGCAACCTGATTTGGTACCAAGCAAAGCTCAAGAGTCAGTGGTACCAACTTGAACAATGTTAGCGCAATCACGTACGGCCATGTCTCACCGACATCCGAATTTCGCACAACGTTTGATAGTGAGTTGTGTGTAAAATGCTCGGAGCAGGTAACTAATAATACTATAAGTTTTAAAGCAATGGCTTTACCGGTGACACTTTGCAGATTTCAGTGTCAACGTTTGCTTTCTGTCATCGCTGCGAAGAGGGAAAAACCCTCTTCTCCCCCTCATGGAGCGAGGAGAGAGAAATCGGGCGTTCCTATTGCCCGCATTGTGCAAAGAGAGAGGAGGCGAGAGCCCCGATGACCCGCCAATAACGGCGCGACGACGGGGGAGCGTAGGCAGAGCGTCTTCCCCCATCATCCGCTAAGGATAACTTAAAAACGGGTGTTTTCAAATATCACTCACATAATATGAAATCCCACTTTGGCAGTATCCAGTTGCTACGCATAATGTTGGAGGGTTTTAGAAGCTCCCACTGCATTCGCTCTTGCTCTAACATCTCGACTTCTCGAATGCAACTCGAAATGTAAAATATGTTCTGCCAAAACTCGTTGCCTTGCACCTGCCTCCTTGCAGAGCTTTTCTCGTTCCTCTGCATGCATCCCCCTCTCCGCTCATCGCTGAATGTCGATGTCACCCCCTCCCTTTGCCGCTCGACAACACCAGAAAAACCTGCACCTTCGCTTGTGCCGGTACAGGTTTTCCCATCAGTGTGCGAAGTAAAAGCGATAGCTGTACCATGCGGGAAAAATGGTGTCGTCATGTACCATCCTCAGGTACGTGACACCATTTTGCCCACATTGCACGTTTGTGCTAGTCATAGCTTTTGTTTCTTTGCATATTGTGGGTGAAAAAGGCACCCTTTTTTCTAAGTGGTGTCCGAGTGTTTAAATGACACGACATACAGGGCAAAAGCTCATGCTGCACCATCGGACGCTACGAGTTCACATCCCGCTGCTACCGGTGTGTGTTATCGCAAAAGTGACAACATCAATGAACATGCTAAAAGACCTCACATTAGCAATCTTACTGCACCGGACAAATGGCAAAACTCGCAAGTCGTACAAATTTCAAAGCAAAATAACTTTCCATTGCATGAACACCATACAATCAATTCCAATAAGGGGAGACTCTGGTCTTAAACATTTTTATATCATTCCTAGGAATGTGCGAATATTTAAATTTTCGAATACGAATCGAATATGAATATTCAAAAGAAATAGCTTTGAGTATCAAATACCGTATTTACTCGCACAATGAACGCACCCCCCAAGTCGGCTCTCAAAATTTCGACTTTTTTTTTTCACTCGCGTAATAAACGCACTTCCAACTCGGATGTCAAAATTTTGACCCCCTCCCGCCACGCACGCGCGAAATGAATGCACTTTTCTATCCTGGTGCAGCGATGTGGCGAATGCATGGGCAGCGTGGGCGAACAAAACGCCTTGCAAAAGGCGTTAAAAAAATTCGCAAAGATACACCGGAAGCAAGAAAAAAAAACATGGAGAGGAGCTTTTTTTATTTTTACACAGCGCAGTCTGGACTTTGCGTTCGCGTGCCCCCGCGCGCAAGGCGGTAAGAGAAGCACTCTAGAAACAGCTTGCGAAAGGAGGCCAAAAGAAAAAAAAGAAACACGGAACTAAAAAAAAAACAAAAACAAAAAAGTTTTTTTTTTTTTTTTTTTTTTTGCTCAGCGCAGTTTGGTTACGGGGGTCGCGCGCGCGCCGCGCGCAAGGAGGTAAAAAAGAGGAGCCGAGAAGCCCTCTAAGCAAACGAAACAGCTTGGAAAAGCAGCCAAAGAAAACCAAAAAAAAAAAAAAAAAAAACCCACGGAACTGAAAAAAAAAACAAAAAAAAATAGGAGCTTTTTTTTTTTTTTTTTTTTTTTTTTGCACAGCGCAGTTTGGTTACGGGGGTCGTGCGTCGCGCGCAAGGAGATAAGAAAGATAAGCGGAGAGCCCTCGCCTAAGCAAACAAAACAGCTTGCGAAAGGCGGCAAAAAAATGGGGTCGGGCGCCGCGCGCAAAGAGATAAGAAGTTACTTCGATTTTTCAGGTTAAAAGGTCCGTTCATTACGCGAGTAAATACGGACGCAAAAAGTTTACTTCGCGTAATGAACGCACCCCCAACTTTGCATCGATTTTTCGGGAAAAAAAGTGTGTTCATTCTGCGAGTAAATACGGTATGTGTGTACCATTAAGAAATAACAAAAAAAAATCTAATGTTTTCCATATTACCTTCTAAACCGAAAATGATAACAAATTCAAGTAAATGAAACTACCCGACTAGGCAGCATACAAACAATCCAATGCCGAGCTCTGATTGAAGGATAGCGCCTCAGAACACCGAGCTCAATCAGAGCCCCAGAATGCCGAGCTCTGATTGGCTTGGATTGAAGGATAGTGGATAGGCATCAAAGCAAGCTGACTAGAGGTCTACTCACTACCCTTCAATCAGAGCTCGGCGTTCCGAGGTCACCACAACCACGGCAAAAACAGACGAACTTGCACTCCGCATAGGTAACACAGCTATTATACCTTGACTAGTAATCACCTGTCAACTGTACATGAAAGCAGGCAAAAGGTGTAACTGATAAGTAATATAAATTGACAAAATTAAGAGTGTACAAAACTGCGCGTCTAGATGGCATGTAAAAATGGAACCTCTAATGTTGTCACACAAACAAATCAAAATGGTGACCTTTTTTAAGAAAATAACTAAAATTTCTTTTGACTAGCCAGCAAGTTTGATATTAGCTGCAAATGCAATTACTGCAAATTATCATGCAAGGAAATTAATTGTTCCAGATGTTCAGTACATAAGCCCTCCCTTTTCGTAGTGAAAACTGCTCCTTCAGCATTAACAATCTGTCAACCCCAGCGGTGAGCCCGCACAAATACGCTAACCACGAGTGCCGTTCCCGTTATGGATGAGACATGACCGCACTAACAAAACATGCTGTTAGCAACACACTAAAGCACACACAAAGCATACATGTTGCTGCCATACTATCACACAGCTCAACATCTACTACTATATATATCCATCTTAAATCGGGCAGCAAATCGTAGCAATGCCTCGCAAGGGATCGTGCCGAGCAAAAAATAAGACGTCGGATATGGGTACTGCTGCTCGAACCTATAAAATGGCACTACCTATTACTCCTTTTCTTTTCCTTTTTAAATGTTAACAAGGTGTTCGTTTAACAAATGAAGTTGATTTAATCGAGGACCTTTCGGTCAGAACCGACCAACAAAGTGAGCACGCCGTGTGAACGGTAAAGGTTTTCCAAGTACACTTTTCTAGTAATTCAATTTATAAAAATCAAGAAACTTTGTGCGTACCTTACGCATGCAGCTTATTAAAGGGGCACTGAAGTCGATTCTGAGATCGTCTTTTAGCGGTGACAACTCAATCTAGACGCTGTAAGCATCCCGAAAAACCCGAAATCACGATCGTGCGTAGTTTTTGTGTTTGTTAAAAGCATGTTCAAAGATTGCGACACGCCCTTTTTGGAAAGAATTTTCTTCCGAGCGAAGTGGTCGACAGAGGGCGCTTGTCGGCGAGTTGCAAGCGATGGCATCGCCCGGGGAGAAAAAGAGGAATCTTATCCGAATGCTATCAGACTCTCTTCAAAACAAGTTTAAATAATATCATACGGAATTTGCGCGTATTGTAGGGCTTTTATTGGTCCACACAACGTAGTCTGCGAGAAAAACGGTTGCCCCGAAATGAATAGGTGGTTTTGTAATATAGGACTCGGTATATGTGGGAACTAACACATTTTAAACAGTATAAGATCAAAAACGACCTTTTTCAAAAATGACTTCAGTGCCCCTTTCAAATTTTGTTTAGAGAATAATCCAACCTTATTTTTGCGTCATGCCACCTATAAATTGGACCAGAGAGTGCACTACTCACTGTTTCACTTTGTCTGGTATGCTAACGTGATCCAGCGGTACCAGGCCAGACAGCTCTTCTATACTGTTCACAAACCGCAGCTTCCTGCTAAACTTTGAACTAAAATAAAAAAGAAAAAAAAAGATAATGTAGAGATTAGTATCTAATAAATCCGATAGACGTATGGTCCACGCACAATTTTGAGTACACGAATAGAGACACGAGTTTCCTCCATTTATTTTTATTCTAGCTGTTTCACTTCGTCACTAGTCAGACGAGGTTATTGCTTCTAAAGATACAATGCTGTTGTCACTAAAGTAGACTTTGCATAGGTTCACTGCTGTTAGTTTTAGTGGCTCGGCACCTCAGTGAGACATCAGAAGGCCAATAATGCAACTCTATCTGAACTGAGCAGGAAATGTAAACACCATAATATCCCGAGTCATCGCCCATCCCAGAGTCATCACCCGCCCCACTTTTTGGGCAAATATCGATTGCCAAAAAAGCATTGAACAATCGCCCACATTTACAGATACCCCAATGCGGACTCCGCAATCCTCAAACATTTATCTTACCCGGATGACACAGCCGCAGACCATACGGTTGGAAGATGTCCGTGACAAAGTAAAACAAAAAAGGGAAAGACACTTCGCTTTGTTTATGCATATCCTCCTTGATTTTTGCGACCCCGAAGTCAGAATACATTCGTGTAAAAGGAAAGTGATGGAGATAACAAAATAAAACTTTGTCTTGCTTACAAAAAAGTTTGTTTGGAGGAAAAAAAAAATATTGGAAAGATAACACAAGCAGTAATTGATTCAGGGATCGCAAAGTCAGCGAACGACGCATATCCTGGAATATGACAACATAGTGCAGTGTCAAAGATGACTAAGTCCGTCCCCACCGAAATAAGGTCCCACCGCAAACCCGCTCCTTCTCCCAGAATGTCCTGACTCTGGTTGGTAAGGTTGTGCAACGTTTGAGATAAAGCTAACGGATAAATAAAGATGTGCTGGAACGCCGCACAAAGACGTATGTAAAGCGTGATATCATGGTGCCGTCCACGCCACGCAGCAATGCCGCCTCAACCCATGTTGCTAGCATGCCACGCATAGACTCGCACATGTATGCCCCAAACAAGAAAGTTGCACAGGAGCCTGCTCCTTGTGATTGGCAAGGTGCCCGACTTGGCCTCACGCCAAAGTAATTTGCCAACGCGATTGCCGGCTTTCCCGCTTCCCCAGCATCGCTTTTCGTCACTTCTTTTGACCGCTTGCTTGCTTGATGCACCTGGTTGGTTTTTCTATCTTCTTGTTGACTCTTTTTTTTACTCCATTTATTTTTTTAATCTACAGATCAGCAAAGGCTTAGGGAGCCTAACGAAGATACAAAGTGGTTTTACAAATGTGCTTTCAAGAAATAAGCATTTGTGCTGCATGCCAATCGGCAGTGCTCATTACGCGTATGAAAGCAACGAAATTTGCGATAGTAAAAGATTCTTTCATAGGCATTTCTTGTATAAAACAATGAAACTAATTTGAGTTTTAAGTTCAATGTATCTCCTGTGTACCTGCGTTAGATACGTACATAAAAATGGGCTTTTTTTTATAGATTTTTTTAAAACTTTTTTGGCTTACCCATTGAGACATGGCCCACCCCATTTTTTTTATGAATTCCACGCGGCGGGAGGGAGGGCGTCGAGTCAGGATATAACGGTAATTGAAGAAAAATAAAAGCAAACGTGAACTTACCTCACAAAAGGCCTCGTCATTATAACTATAGTCTTCACCCAAAATGTGGGATGCACAAGGTAAAGCCCCTTCAAATTTTTCCGTAGCCTTAAAAAAAGACAGAGAGGTTGATCAACGGACTGCAACTGCTTTTCGGCCTGCACAATAATTTTTTTAATCAGACTTTTTTTAGAGAGGCTTTTTACAGAACAGGAGAGTCAAGGGTCAGAAATCACCTGCGGTCAATCATCTGGTAGCAGCGCTTGAGCCACCCAAAGCTGGGCATGATGCTTCGTTCAGTGGCCCCATGAAGATAGATCAGAACATAATCCTCAGCCACCAGTTGATCCAAGGTTGACAGGACGTACCTGGCAAGGGAGAGGAAATATAGACACCCCAAATGACTGTAAGATATACACGCCAGTCAAGTAATGCAACAGTATGCTGACCACAAGGTGGCATTAGAAGTGAAACTGTCTGGTACGGCTGAAATTTAAGTACCCATTCGATTTCCTTTCATAAGCAATCAGAACATTTTCTTTTTAAATTTCTTGCAGTTTTTGAATTTTAGCAAATTCTAAAAGGTGACTTTCTACTGGCAATAGTGGTAATTCCTACTTGACCCTAGCCATTAATCTTTGGGGTGGGCAGCAATGAAGTCCAAGCTAGGGGCACCCGTGCACTTACACACAAACCTTGATCACAGATCAAAGTCATATTGTGCACTAGTAGTTTCAAACTGCCTTAGAAAGTCTGTTAGACATGTCTGCACTTCATTGCCATTGTCAGTTAAACGCCGGGCTAAAAATTAATCCCACCTGGGACATGCTGTTCGGTCCCAAGAGAAAAATTAAGGAAAAACAAGTTTGAGAATCATACTAATTAGGACTTCACTGGCACTAACCAGAACTAATCTGGGTAAAACAAGTAGCAGTTTAGAATCAAGAGATCATTAGACTTTAGAGCATGCCCTTGGTTTAGGTAGCACAAAAAACCAGGAGAGCTCCCCTTCAAAGAGCCTGTGACTGCAGTGATTAATAGAATTCCCACCTTGAGGAACAGAACAACCTTCCTGAATCGCATGTCAACTCGTCCTCAGCAAATTATTTTTGGAGGTAACCGAAATCTGTCTGTGAACTATGTTTGGTCATGTATTCCTTTTGTTCTTGTATTACTATTATTGTTGTTGCATTTCCGCACATATAACTACCTAGTGTTTCCTACATTTTATGACCTTTGTCCTTACATATCTTCTACTGTAACCTGTAATAACCCACCCTACCATAACCTCAGAAAGGAGGTAACTAAATTTGACTCGCCAGAAGAGAAGGCTGAAATTAATGTATACATAACCACCATAACTTAATGTGTACATAATCACCGAAAAACCTTGAAATGCACTTCACAATCACACACTGTAAACACACTGACAACAATGTCTCTGCAAAGACCTATTGTAAAATACTGCGGAAGCGCCCACTTCGTTCGAGCGCCCACTATTAACATTTCCTGAACTTGGGAATTCTGCAAATTATACGTTAGGCACCCGATTTGACCGAACAAGCGCCCACGCTTAGATTAACCCAGCTTTCAGCGAAACTGGGATGGGCACTTCCACCTATTTTAAGGTAGGACTATGCATGTGCACACAATATCTATCGATTTCTGACAGCCAAGGAATGGCATCGAAAGGAAAAGAACTCCTAAAACCAAAAAAAAATTGTCACATACAAGAAGAGGTTGTCCATGACGTAGTCGTAGTCCCTCCGACCACGGTCAGGCAGGTAGCACGCACTGAACACTATGATGGCGTGGCGCTCTTCTCCAAAGTAACCTGGGAAAGACCATAGACAACGACAGATTCGAGGAATGTCCGAAAAACTCGGGCAGCAAAGACAGAGCAATAGGCGCAAGTCACCTCCGTGAGACAAGACTTTCTTGTACGGCTCGATGACCTTCATGTCAATCTTCCTTTCCACGCCGCCGACGTTGATTGTCCTCCAGCTCCTCTCTTCTGCGTACTCCTCCCTCGCCGAAAGCTCTGGGATTGGTTCGCTTAACGTGGAGTCCTCCCCTGATGTGCACGGAAAGAAATTGTGTCCCTTCGTAAGACAAATCCTCTGTCGCTAGATGTCGAGTGAACAAAGAACATTGGTGCAAGATCGGAAAGGGTAGTTCAGGCAGGTGGGCTCGCAAAATGCCAATAGACATAGTGCTACCTTTTACAGTGTGCCAGGAGAGAAGGAGGCATTATTCAGCCGACAATTCAGCAGACAACATGGTCCCCTAAAAAGTAAGAATCTATCCAAGTCTCAATGCTGCACTTTGCCCCAATAGAGTCAAATTAAGGAAATTCTAGAATAGCTTACTGGAATAGAACATCATAATTTTTCTCAAAACAGTTTGGCTATTAGTAGACTGCTAATAGTTTTCAGGATGCATATATTGCTGCTAGGGTATTTACTTTTTCTGGGTTTTACATTGTAAATTGCCATGGAAGCAATTCAATTGTTCTGACACGTCCCTGTAACTCATTAAAAACAAACCAGTAGAGTCTCATGTACTAGTTGTCGAAACTGTGAGTTTCTGCCACAAACTATGTTTCAGCACTGGCACACTTAGTAGCTCACAATGCTAGCCATTTTGAGAGCCCCTCCTAGACGAATGATCACCCAATAATGACTGTTCAGTGAGGAAGGAAATATTGTTCATTGTTTATTTTGTTGTTTGTTTAGTGACCATTGTTTACTTTGGTGACTACACAATACATACATGACTTGAAGTTATGCCACTACAATCCACGTCAACTTCAGGAGCACAGTCTGATGCTGATGTAAGAAAAGAAGGATCTAGAAAGGACCAGGTCTGTATTCAACCGAGAACTTCATGAAGGATGAAAGAAAACATTCAAGGAGTCTGATGAACCTTAAAATAAAAAGTGCAGATTTTTAGTTCCTCATTTCCACTGTGGAAGTCAAGGTCCTGCCCTATTCATGTCACAAGGCATGGGGTTGCGCTAGTTGGTTTAGCAAAGTGCAGTGTTTGTCTGTTTCTTCCTCTAGCCCTCTGTTTTTTCACTTAAGCTTACTAATGTCCCTTTTCTTTTCTTTAAATTGTAAATTTGGTATATTTTATCTATCTTGGGGTTATGACTGATTTTAGCACAGGAAATTACCCAAATGACGAGGTGTACTTCTATTTTTTTCAATGTCTTGTGTAGCTTTGTACATATTTGATCTCAAAGTCTTGTTTTGGGGGTCTACGGCGAAACCGAAACTACTGGCTCAAGCACGATGGCAACCCTGGTGATAAGCTGCATGTCTATCCTGTGACGCAAATCTCGCTTCGCATACCGCAAAACATACAACTGACCTAGTCGCAAGAGCAGTTCCAATCAGGCAGGTAAGATGCTACGGCTGTCTTCCCGTTTTCCTTCATATATTCAAACATCTGTAGCAAATATTAATACACATTCATGAAGTTGCCGGCTGAAAAGCGAGTTTGCCACGATGAACCCAGGCTCAGAATGAGCCCCCACTTATCTTCTGAGAAGAACTACAATCTTGGTGGAGTGCATTGCACGTTGCAGAAGCGCTGTGGAAGCTCATTGTAAGCTCGCGCTGAGCAGGAACAAACGAAAATATGGCCGCCAGTGAATGCCACCTTCGGCACCACGACGCGCTTGAGCAAGCAGGGAGTGAATAATCTTCGTGTGCAATCGTTGAGGAGAACTTACAAAAGACGGCCACTAAAACGTAACATTAAAACAGATCGTCCACTGGGATGGCTGATACCGCAACAGAAAAACACGGCGAAAGAACTTAAAGTACAAACAAGTAACCCATTTGACAAGGCTTGGCCTCCTTGGGTGTGAATGGGGCTAGTATTATGTCGGGGCAGAAGGTTGCTTGACAAAATATTGTAGAGCCCTTCCACTTCACGTGAAGATGGAGGACCAGTGTCTAGGACGATGCGTGAGGACGATGTCTAGGACGACGACTAGGACGATGCCTGAGGATGACGTCTAAGACGACCTCAAGGATGACTTCTAGGATGACCTCGAGGATGACGCCTAGAGGAAGACGTCTAGGGCGACCTCAAGGGGACGTCAAGGACAACTTCTAGGATGACATCGAGGACTACACCTAGAGGACGACCTCAGGGACGATCTCCAGGACGACTTCTAGGACGACCTCCAGGACGATGCCTAGAGATGATAACAAGGGATCAGGCATACCAAATCCTGAGGCTTTTACACTAAACTGAGCCAAGATTTGTATTGTGATCGCTGTAAAATAACATGATAAATTAATTTTCAATACTGTTAGCCCCAGAGATCAGTGCCTATAAAAACCCCAAATACAGCACCGCAGCCGGCGGCATCTAGTGGAGCCATTGCAAAGCTGCCCCAGTTTTTGTCGTAAAAGCGCACCTTCGACTTAAAACAAACAAAACAACTTATCTCGTTCATACTGTTATTAAAGGTCAAAAGGCAGTTAGTTATCTGTGAGTGGAACTTTCCTAAAATGACGTAAAACTACAAGGTCACGTGTCTAGTGGTCAAAAATGTGTAACACGACAGCGGCCAGGTGGGGGTCACTTTCAGCTGCCAATTTATCGCTCTAAGCCCCTCTACCTCGTTGGGTGGCATACAGAAAAACTTAACGTTTCTTTTCTTTTTTTCCTTTTTCAATAGAGCAAGTTCTATGCTCTCCACTTTTTAATGAAACACAAAAGAGCCAATAAAAAGTGAAAAAGTAACCCGCACATTACATCTCTCAAATCTAAGAGTGTCAAGTAGCAGAGGCCATCGTCCTATACTACGAAAGAAACGTTAAGTGTAACAGTATGCCAAAGAGTTCATGATGAAAAAAGCTCCCTCTGCATGCAGTCTGGTAGTCTGGTCACGAAAAGGCAGACGGTACTCACGTCCAAGCACAGAATCATTCATCTCATCCGGAGTGTCGATATCTGGTGTGACCAAGTCATCCACGGGCGAGAAGACGTCCCCATCACTCTTGTTGCTCAGAGAGGACAGGCTCTTGGAGTCGTCGTCGAAGTTCACTTGAGTGCGCAGAATGTCGGGGTTCACTTTGATCTTGCGCCGACGAGGGCGCGAGCCACCACTCAGACTGGTCGGCCTCTCTGTCGAGGGAAGTTAGCCCAGAATAAACAATGCTGTCTTGGATGGTATACAGCAAATGGTGCTTCAATAACTCCTGGCACTGTCTTCAAGAAACATACTGCTCATTGTATCTAAAGTAGATGCCACACATTTCTTATAAAGAGATTTTTACATTTGAATGGGCCAGTCTCTACCTCGCGCAACACGTTGTGGGTAGACATGACAACATGTACCTACATTTAAATGGTGGTTGACAACTAGCAGAGCTTTATAGTCATTCACTATTTTTGTATTGAGAGCTTATTATGCCTGTGATTCCGTAAGAGAATATTGAGGTGAAATGCGTATTAACCTAGCCGTAAGGATTCTATAACCATATAAAAACAATACTGTTAGTAGAAATTTTGATGCAAGAACACGTGAAAGATGTCCAACTGATGCAAGTTCAGTCGGGCGCTCGAGTACAAATAACTCGCAACTTTTCTTGTAGTGAATTTTGACATAAGCTGGTAAAACTTTGGTACATTGGAACCCCGATTATATGACTTTTGCAGGACCGCCGCTAATTAGTCGTATAATCCGCGAGTCATATCATCCGAAAAAACAAAAGTATGGATACAATGATCGGCCTCACGCAAAAAAGACAAGCGCAGGTTTTAAATGATGTTTAAGCTAATAATCTGCAGAATTGGGGATCCCTGTCGCTTTTCAAGCCTTCCGAAAGCGGGAACAGTGGGAGCCAGCGGAAGTGTGTTCAACCTTGGGAAAAGTCACGAGTTGGAGAAAGTGACGCACAGAGGAGAGCGAGGTTAAACAAGAGACGAGAATGATGGAATGAGCAAAGCAAGGGCGCAGCGTGAAAACGCTGAGGCATTTAACAACCCGTGGAAGAGAAGAGAAAGTGCTGTCTCCTACTCTCTTCTGGAACTGCGGCTGTCATGGGATGCCGGTGGCGTGTTTTTAGCCCCTCTGAAACGGCGCGCAGGCGTGCTGAACTCTTCCGCGTTGCCGCACCCCCGCCCTTCTCCTCATGCAGCCGTTGAATTCGTCGTGCGTTTGTGATCAGAACGTCTTATGATGCGGGATGAGTAGAATGATGTGTCGTGTAAATGAAACTTTTAATACATTATTCCGCTGATCTCTATGACAATTGCTGGATCGCGTTTTCCCGCTCCGCGAATGCAGTCACTGGCGGCCATCTTTAGGTAGAGTTATATCACCTCTAGCCAATGTAAGCTGCTGCAGCCGCTATCATCCATCCATGGCAGATAGCGTTTTGGCAGGTGGGTTGGCAGGCTGCGGTCAAAATAGCGTGGGTGATATTGCGTGCTTGATTAAAATTATTTGACGAAACATGTTTTTGAAACCCGGCGTGAGCAGTAGTCCGGCTTTTGAGGACCTGGTAAAAGTTTCACGAAATCGCAGCACCGGGAGAAAAGCAGCACAACACATATTGAAAGTCGCATCGAAAGAAGCATCGAAAGCAGACGACGGTACGGAGTCTGCTTTTGATGCGAGCTGCGCTGCTTTCCCCCGGTGCTGCGCTTTCGTAGAACTTTTGCCGGGTCCTCAAAGATGAGGCTACCGTTCACGCCGGGTTTCAATAATCTGCTTCGTCAAACAACTTCAATGAAGCGCGAAATGTCACCCACGGTACAGTGTACTAGATCTACGGCTATTTTTATGGCAGCCTGCCGCCATTGCGCTGTCCGCCATATTACTATGATGGCTAGAGATGATATAACTCTACCTAAAGATGGCCGCCAGTGACCGCATTCCGGTCCATAGGAGGAGCTGGTCAAACGCGATCCAGCAAATAGACATAGAGATCAGTGCATTATCCCTACAATGAGTTCGTCGGGACCGGGCAATCGTAAAATGTGGGATGTCGCATAAACTGGGGACGCATAATCGAGGTTCCACTGTAACAGGTATTGTAGAAGAAAAAATAAAGGAGCCCACGAATGCTGCTGTTCACTCTTAAATATTTCTTTCTGATATTTTAAATCACCATAACTTCACAACTTCAGTCAAAAGTTCTAAGCTCGTGGGTATCAAGCCATTACCTGCTTTTGAATTTTGAGCGATCCAAATGCACTCCACGCCCGGTGCTTTTAGGGCAATAAGCGCTAGCTTGTGCCTGCATGTGTATAAACATGCTAAGAAAAAGTCCTGCATAACCACTCCAAGCTTTACATTACATTTTGGTGCTAGATAGTAGCATTTTGTTCTGCAACTATTAACAGATGCCACAAGATTCTCATCCCTCGGGTGCGCGTCGACATAATCTGCTACTAGACGACATAATCGTGACTAGGGTTGTGAATCCAAAATGTATCATGACTCAAAAACATAAAAAAAAAGCATAAGCATAAGCCAAGATCACAAGGACAAGTGAGGACAGAGAACACCAGTCACAGACTAAGATGCTGGGGACAAAAGCTATCACATTTGAAGACCACATATGCACGAAGGACATCTGAAAATGGCCTCATTAGGCCACCAATATCTTTCAGGGTTAGTAGCAGACAGGGAAGATTTAGTCAGCGCGCAGGCTCAGCAGCGTTCCACAAACCTGGCCGGCGCTCGGTGTGGTTCAGTTCTCCATCACTGTCTTCTTGGAGAGAAAAAGTCAAATGGTTCATTTCGACATCTTGTAGTTCCGGTAAATCCGACTCTGGCAGGGACTCTATGCTGTCTTCGAAGCACGTTGGTAGTCGTTTTTCCAAAGGCGACCCTGGCACTTCACTGGACGTAACGGGCGGAGACAACTCCTTTTTCATCGTCGGCGAAGTGGTAGCAGAGGCACTAGTTTCACTGCCAAACGTGCCGTTGTTCAAAGTCTTCAAGAAGTGTTCTTCGGGATCGATCCTCCTCAAGGACGACGGCACTTCCCTTTCGTCCTCGGCCCGAAAGCTGGGTGCGTCGGCACTGACCGCCTTTGGTTTCGACTGCACTTCCCTAGGGTTCCAATGAGCGTCGTCTACCGTATAAGTCACCAGCAAGTCGCCACTCTCGTCGCCGAAAGGCTGCAAGTTGGGCACAATGACCTTCTTCTCCTGCGGCGTCTTCTTCCTTTCAAACTCCGTCCAGGCACCGGACGCTTTCATCCCAGCAAGGGCGTCCATGAGGTCGTCGTCAATGAAACCGGAGTAGGAGCTGTGGTTGTTGATGATCTCGTCCACTTCTCGGGGACTCAGCCTGTCTTGCAGGTACTCGCTCAGAATGTAGACATCCTTAATCTCGTTTTCGTCAAAGTAGCGCTTCACCTTTGCGAGGAGCTCTTTGTCGGGGGTGTCGTCGGACGCCCTTTCCTGGAACAGAAACCCGTTGGTGTCTCCACCCTGCTCCTCGGAACCCAACTCCCTGCAGCGTACATTAGACTCTTTGGGCCCACTGTCTTCTCCACCCAATTTTAACGGGAAACTGTCCTTCTTTGGAGTGGAATGCTTAACGCCGCAATCCGACGACGATTCGGAGAAGCTCAGGTCAGAGGCCAGGCCCAAGCTTTCAGGCTCGGCGTCGACCGGTTGGCTCAGGCTGCTGCTGGGTTCAAACGCCGATCGACTTGCCGAGCCACGGACGGCCAGCTTGCCACTGATGAGGCTGTCTTCGAAGTACTCCTCCAGTTCGGATGCGAGACTCAGTGGCTGGCTCTCGGCGTCATTGGCTTGGGTGGAGACGAAGGCAATTTGGGTAGGTTATTTTGTTTTTTTAGGGGTCCAATTCGAATTCGATTGAAGTTTGACTTCCATCCTATTACAGCATCTCAAGCAAGTAGAGCTGCTACAATTACATTGAGACAATGTTTAAGTCCGCTAATCATTTATAATGCTCTAGTACTACTTGTTACCCACAGAAAAGCAAAATTCTAATTTAGGGAAATTAGCACATAGTGCACCCCCCCCCCCCTTTAAGTATGATCAAAGATTTAACGCTACTGAAAATCACTTGGTGTATCACCATGTTTCGCACAGATGTAGGTCTGTACTTTATCAACTTTTAGACATGGTACGAATAAAAGAAAACAGCGAGAATATTACCTCGTCGTGCCTCAGAAAGAGAGAACTGGTCTCCTCTTGATAAGGCATCATCATCCGTTTCTTCATCAACGCAAGAACCCTATAAAAAAAGAAAACGTGACCAGCCATCTCAGGTAGACCCCCAAAACAATGTGTCTCAAATGTGCGGTCGGCAAGCATGTCGTGGCTCAACCGCAACCCATGCCTTGAATGCTACGTGCACCATAAACAATGGTCTCATGCAAAAATGTTCCAAAAGCCAGGTGAATTCATGATCAAAAAGGTTTGTTTGTCGTGATGCATCGGTGTGCAACACCAACCGTGGCCACCTGCCAGACGTTTACAGGGACGTGTGAAATAAGTAGACTGGTCGACCTCGCCTCATTTGTGTCAGTGTATACCGAAGATGCCACCTGCATAGGTGGCAAAATGTCTGTGCCTTTTTGTTATTAATTTGTTACATTACGTTGGAGTAAACCTTTTCAATCATAATGGTCTCATGTTGCCAATTCATTATCACTTGAAACGTAACTAGCAATGTTCAAATAAGATCACTTACACGAGTCCAAGTATACCGTATTTACTTGCACAATGAACGCACTCGCGTAATGAACGCACCCCCCAAGTCGGCTCTCAAAATTTCGACTTTTTTTTTTCACTCGCGTAATAAACGCACCCCCAACTCGGATGTCAAAATTTTGACCCCCTCCCCCCACGCGCGCGAAATGAACCCACTTTTCTATTCTGGTGCAGCGAGGTTGCGAAAGCATGGGCAGCATGGGCGAACAAAACGCCTTGCAAAAGGCGTTAAAAAATTTGCAAAGATCCAATGGAAGCAAGAAAAAAGAACATGGAGAGGAGCTTTTTTTTCTTCTTTTTTGCACAGCGCAGTCTGGATTTTAGGTTCGCGCGCCGCCGCGCGCAGGGAGGTAATAAAGAGAAGCGCTCTAAGCGAACGAAACAGTTTGCCAAAGGCGGCAGAAAGAAAAAAAGGAAACACAGAGCTAAGAGAAAACAAAAACAAAGAGGAGCTTTTTTTTTCTTCTTTTTTCTTTTTTTTGCACAGCGCAGTTTGGTTACTGGGAGTCGCGCGCCGCGCGCAAGGAGGTAAGAAAGAGGAACGGGGAAGCCCTCTAAGCAAACGAAACAGCTTGCGAAAAGCGGCAAAAAGAAAAAAAAACACGGAACTAAAAAAAAAAAAAAGAGGAGCTTTTTTTTGTTTTTTGCATAGCGCAGTTTGGTTTTGGGGGGTCGTGCGTCGCGCGCCACGCGCAAGGAGTTAAGAAAAGCGGAGAGCCCTCGCCTAAGCAAACAAAACAACTTGCGAAAGGCGGCAAAAGAAAAAAAAAACCCAAGGAAAAGAAAACCCCCAAGAAACTAAGAAAAAAAAGTTTTTTTTTTTTTTGTTTTGCACAGCTTAGTTTGGTTACCGGGTCGGGCGCCGCGCGCAAAGAGATAAGAAGTTACTTCGATTTTTCAGGATAAAAGGTCGTCCATTATGGGTTCATTATTGGAGTAAATACGGAGGCAAAAAATTTTACTTCGCGTAATGAACGCCCCCCCCTAACTTTGCATTGATTTTTCGGAAAAAAAAGTGCGTTCATTCTGCGAGTAAATACGGTATTTCTTGTTTTTGTTAACTTTTTTTATACCGTAACATTTTGAGAAAATGCCCGCCCCCCGAGAGATCACCCACACCGTTTTTATGGCTAGACCCATCTATAACATAGAAATTCCAAAACCATCGCCCGCCCGCCCGCTGCCGCCCCCGCCCCCCTCCCACGAATCCCGTCAGATGTCACGTGACGTACGATGGGAATCACATCAATCGCACAATTTCCTGTACGAGCACGTCTGACAAGCGAGCTCATAGCGGGTTCCGAAGTTTTTGTCTGCAATCTGCGCGCTCGTTATCGGCTCTCTGTGGTCACGTGCCGTTTTCTACGGTTTAGACGCAACCACCAAAGACAATCAAAATCGCGGGTCATCGAAGGCACACACTCAATATAAAAAATAGGAAACAAATATGATACTCATTTTTTGTGGCTTTAAAAACTGCAAAAATGTTGATTGAAAAAAAAGAGAAAAAAAAAAGTTGCAAGCCACGTGATTTTTGGCAAGATTCTCCTCCTCTTTATTTCTCATTCCTCCCCAGTCCAGTTTCGGTTTCGAGTAGTTGCGTTTTATTACTTTATTAAAAAAGTAGGTGAGGCTGTAGCAAAATACTGACTGGGTAGTCTTCAGACACCATAATAAATCTCCCAACAAAATATAAAAGAATACATTTTTGGACTGTCAGTGTCCCTTTAAAGGGCCACTGAAAAGAAGAAAATGTTTTTTTTTAAAGTCTGATTGGGACATGCGTGTCAAAAAACTAATTTCAAGTGAAAAAAAAATTATTATTTTAGAGCAATATGGATGGTGCGAGACGCAATTTAGTTGGCAGTCACCTGCTTCCCACTTGTTTTCTCTGGGCATTTTGGGCACGTGGAGAGCTGTGGCAATGAAAAGCTGTGGCCATCACGTTGAGGTGGAAAGAGTGTAGACCATTCTGTGACGTCACAGACTTTGAGCGCATAATACAGACGGAACAAAAACAAATCTCGAGCTGTCAATATTGCTATAACAATATATTTATATATGTATATTTGTCGCGTAAATTTCATTTTTCGACACGCGTGTCTCAACCAAACTGTTAAAAAAAAAACACTTTTTTTTTCTTTTTAGTGGTTTTTCAAAACTTGAATCTGCTGCGTCTGCGATATTCGTTCCCGTGAGATGTGACTTCTAGGGAGGCTTCCGCGGGTCCTTCACGCCATGAAACACGAATCTGCTGCGTCCGCTACCTGCAGTATCCTTTCCCATGACACAGCAGTTTGTAGCAAATTCCTGCATATTTATCGCATTGTGAAACGCGAATCTACTGTGTCCACGATGTGCGAACACAGCAGATGCTATGTGATGCAGTTCCTGCATCACATAGCTTGCAGCCAGTGCCAGGGTGTTCATCATTAATTTTTTGAAGTTTTGCTGCGGCATCCTTAAAGATAGCCCACCTTACGTTTTTCACCATTTATCTCTTCATTTTGGGTGGGCATTCTTTCGGAATTTTATGGTATGTTACTCCCAAACATCTGCAAGAAACATAATCAAGAGATTTTGCAAAAAACATAATATTTGAAGAGAAAAAAAATTTGAAGGTGCCAGACATTTGAAATTTTTGTTTATGTCATGTTTGGTGACACCTGCTATGCAAACTACAAATATCAGAAATCTCAAATATTTTGCACTTACAAATAGATCATGGGAACTATTGATTTGAATATTTACGGCATTGTAAAGGATATGTTGTTTGCATCAAAGATGTGCAAACATGACTCTTTGGACGTTTAGTCACTAAATTTCTGAGCCGTCATCAAAAAAAAATTTAATAGCTACAACTTAAAAATTTCTGTCATATATTCTTACTTAGATGTTCTTTCAAATAATATATAAATTATTGCTTTATCTAAAAAAAAATTATGTTGTTCCCAATTTGTTCTAAAGTACCAAGATAAAAAAATCTCAAGGGGAAATATAAAAAAAACATTTTAGATTTTTTTTTTTAAATTTAAGTGATTGTCTTCCATTATGCTCCAGTGTTTATTCAAAACATCTTGCATCATTTTGTCTCCTTCAAGGTTACAACGCTGTGAAGTGTACCTTCCACGCTGGCATTTTGCCAAATGACACAGACAAGATTATCTTAATTCAATGTATTTCATGACTAGACATATTTTCGTGCTATATTCAGGTATTAAGCTCAAGTTCAAGTATTCTACTAACTAAAAAGAAAACTGAGTTTCTCATCTTTTCTATTTATTTAACCAATAAGTCTGTTTTGCCCTTTAAAGTTACAAGTTCTAGAAGCTTTAGCTGATTTTTTTTCACTTGTAAATGCTACTACTACCATTTGTTTTACAGAAAGTAGTAGAACAGTAAGAACGGTGGTGCAAATTATATGCAAATAGTGATATCTATATTAGCATTGAAGTAGGAATGTTTGAACCACCGAGCTTGTTAAAAGACTATTTACGATGGTTTTAGGTCCTGCTGACCAAGGCAAACCTGTGACTTCACTGGCAGACTTTCACTAAGACATTCATTTGGATTTAAAAAATATATTTATGATTATTTATTCAGGTAAAATAAACAATATGAAATTAAAAGCTTAAAAAAAAGAATAAGAAAGATACTGAGTGCACTAGCTGCCCGCATTGGCAGGAGGGAGTCTTGAGAAGTCCATATTTTGCCGCTCTTTAAACCAGACTGCCAGATTCCTCTAAGCATTCATATGTATTGCAATAATTCCATTGAGTCCGAGAAAATCCGTCAACTTCGAATGTGGCAAATAGGGAATGCACACACAAATTGATGCTGTCTCACGAAAACAGCGTTCCGGGAAGACAATTTGAAAGCCTCTATAAAGTAAGTCTTTCTCCGGCTCTCAAAATGTCTTAGTACTTAGGTATGTGGCAGCGAGGTCTTCTTGGAACAGCTGACAAAACTAGGCCTGAAATTATCCAGGCAAAACAGTCGATAATCACGTTGTCGGTGTATTTAAAGGATGACATTCTACCGATGTGCAAGCTGTTTTCTCGCCTTGCATCGTTCGACGTCACAGATCGAAAAAGCAAAGCCGCTAAGCCTAAAGACCCACACAACCACGCATGAAACCAATTTTAGAGTCACGAGGTTTGAAGGGCATCCGTTGTAACCCTGCCTCCAAGTATCCTACTCAGTAGCCAATGCCAGCGTCAAAAGCGAAATGCCACGAGTCCTAAAGGCGACAAGCGCAATACTAGCGGCACCGACCTAATCAGCGCTGAATCAGAATGGTGGCGGCTCAAGGCTGGTTCACACACTTGCGTGAGTCTGATCAAGTGTGACTGCAACGGCTTGCGACGTATGGGTTGCTATGGCAACAGCCACGTCATCTCCAACAAAACGGGGTAAAAACCGGTTTGGTTGGAGTTCACGCAGCCATTGCCATAGCAACCCGTACGTCGCAAGCCGTTGCACTTGCACTCGGTCGGACTTGACGGAAGTGTGTGGGGATCGCCCTTCAGAAAGAAAGCAAACCACACAAGCCAGCAGTGGCACCCCTCGCGAACCTAAAGAGGGGCTTTACGGGAACCAGAGACGGCATGGGCAACACAGCACCCGCAATTATGGCCTGTTTTCTCCTGGTGCACTTTCCTTTTTGGAGAAACTGATTGCCACAATATCACTATACACTGAGCAGTAGATATTTTCTTCAACTCTGAAATTTTATTACACTGCAATCCATTTCGCCTTACAATAGAACACAGCAAAGGTTACAAATACGAGCTTTACACTTTAGAACGCACATCAGTTGAACACATGCTTTTGCTCTGGAAGAACCTACAAACAAAAACCAGCAGCCACTTAAGCTTTCAGTGTTTGCTTCAGTCCACATTAAGGGGACAGCATAGCGCATACTTGTGCACAATAGCTTGCCACCCTTGCACAAACCGGCCATTCAATCAGCCGAATCGATACTACCGTAAAATCCCGTAAGGGCGCCCTCCCCCGAGAGATCATCCATCCCGTTTTTCTGGCTAAATATCTGTAACATAAAAATTCCGATACATCGCCCACCCCCCGATTCCTTTGGACGTCAAACAATGTCCGATGGGAATCGCACATCAACGGCACGATTTGCGGTACCGGTGTGTCCGAGAAGCAAGCTCATAGCTGGTTCCCGCGTTTTTGTCTGTGATCTGCACGCAATATCGGCTCACATAACACACTAGTTGTTCCCGTGTGTATATTGCATTGTGAAATGCGAATCTGCTGCGTCCGCGATATCCGTTCCCAAGTTCGTAGCAGATTCACATGTTTTTGTCTGCGATCTGTGCGCGCGTTACCGATTTTTAGCTATTGGGCAGGAGATCGAACTATAGGGGGCGCTCTGACCCGTTTGTTTTCCCCACGCTTGGTGTTTACTCAACACAAGGCCTGTGCACATGCCGACAGGCCTTATGGGCATGGCCATGTCATCTTCTACAATAGAGTGCGGGGCGCAGTTTAATGTAAAAAATACTAACAATCGACGAAGCGACGTTAGGTGCCGGATCTCTCCTCAGAGAATGCGAGCTTGACCCACTTCGGCTTTTGTGCTGAACTGGAATCGTGCATGCTGCATTGTTCATGCAGGCCGTAGTGGAAACAAAACAGCCCCTCCTCCCCCTCGCCGGAGAACACGAACTCCAGCCGAACGCTGACGCCGCGTTCGGTTATGTCGGCCGAACGCTGCGTCATTGTATTTGTTGTCCCCATCCGTGTAGTTGTTAGGTTAACCGCTTGGGGCGTCACGGTCTGTCCTCCTCCCCAATAAGTAACACGCGAGAGTTGTTCCCGCGTGTCTATTGCATTCCAAAATGCGCTTCTGTAGCGTCCACATCTGCGGTATTTGTTTCTGTGACATGCGAGTTTGTGGCGCATTCCCGTATTTTTGTCCGCGATCTGCGCGTCCGATATCGGTTTCTGTAACAGACAAGATTGTACTAGCAGGTTCCCGCGTCTTTATTGCACCATGAAACTTGAACCTGCTGTGTCCGCGATCTGCGGTATCCGTTCCCGTGAGATGAGAGTTCTCGGCGGCTTTCCCCGAGTTCTTCGCACCGTGAAACGCGAATCTGCTGCATCGGCCACTTGCAGTATCCTTTCCCGTGACACAGCAGTTTGTAGCAAATTCCCGCGTGTTTGTCGCATCGTGAAATGCGAATTTGCCGTGTCCACAATCTGCAGTATCAGTTCCCGCGTCACGTGGCTTGTAGCGGGTGCCCCGGCGCTTATCATTAATTTTCGATAAAGTTTTGCTGAGGCATCCCGAAAGAGAGCCCTACCCATGTTTTTTACCATTTATCTCTTCATTTTGGGTGGGCGTCCTTACGGGATTTTACGGTATGTCAAAAGTCACGTTTTCATGACCCAATCATGATCATGGTCGTGATGTGACCTGATCATGGCAAGGCACCATGGCCAGGACATAGTTCAACACTGGCTGAACTATGCCAAGCAAAACTTTGCTTTTGAGCTGAAAGAGGTATTTTTATTTACCACATTACCTGGGAATTCATAATTTTAAACAGTACCTATATGCGTGTGTATAAACATGTCAGTTGTGTATGTCACAAGCGCCATAACTCTGTTGGTTTACCGGCAAATGACTTTTGTGAGAACAGAACTTCTCGAAGAACAGAACCCACCAGTTTGTACCGAAGAGGCTTGGAGGGCTGGGGGCTGTCGGGAAAGTCCAGGGTCTGGGCACGGTACAGAGCCGCAGTCTGGGACAGCGGGTCCGCAATGGTCGCCGTGCTCACGCTCTCTTCTTCGTTGAACTTCTCTGTGCCACTGGAGAGGACCCTGCTACTCGTCAGTGGAGGACTACGCTCATCATCACGCCAGCGCTAACTTAAAATGCTGCTCCAGCTAATAGATTGATCCCACTTTGCATTCCACGTATACGTGACACTGCCGTAACTGTAGCCCACAGATGGCAGGCAGCAGTGCATGAGACAGCTCTTACCGTTTCGTGCTCTGCTCGCACAGACCCGCAGCAAAGTTATCGCACGTGCAGGAAGACTACAGTTCCCACGATGCGTGGCGACAGTGGTGGCATAACACAACTCACTGCCGAGATCGGTCTATTTAAATTGAGCGGTCAATACCTAAAAAGAAATGCCTATTTCTCTATGAAACCTGGTAGAGAAGATGAGAATTCCCACAATGCTCCAAGAGCTAACCCTCACCCTCGCTTCCCTTCCAATTTTTCGTTCTTAAAAAGGCACCGAAGGTCAGCCCAACATTTAAAATCGCATCAATCGAGTTCAAATAGTTTGCGAATAGGACAGACAATGTGAATTAGGACAACAAAAACAATAGTAGCTGCTTTATGCACAACTTCAAAGACGAGTAACTAAATAACATCATCCCTCTGTCTTCCTTACGATACATGCTTCCCGATACGTCTACTATATATTTTCTCGTTCTTTTATGCATCATTCCTTCATCGCGGGCTTCAAAGTGATTCCGACAATGTCATAAGCGGCTGGTTTTCGTAGACGTAGATTCTCTCTCGCAACGACGACCCCAACGATGACCAAAACCTCAGCTGTTTTGGTCACACCTTGAGTGCCCTAAGGGCACTTGAGGGTGACCAACACAGCTGGGGGTTTTGGTCATCCGTGTCCCTCCACACTTCTGGCTTCACCTCTGGTGACGTCATGTCGCCTCCAGAAGCTTCCTACCTCCGCGCTCGTGGCAAAACGTCGACTGCCCCCGACGATGGCTGGAACCGCCTCTTGGAAAGAAGGATGACGGGCAAACTCCAAAGAAAAACTAGATGTTGGGGGGTTTGCGCGTCTTCTGCGTTTATTACCCGTCTTTGGCCGTCTCAGAGACGCTGTTGGAAGAGTCGGACGGTGAGAATGGCGGGTCCCGCAGGGCGGTGTCGTCAGGGCTGCTGGCACTGCAGGAGCAAGGGAAGGGGCTCTCATAGCACTAGAAACCTTTCTACGGTGCTGCCGGTCCTGGGACAGCTTTGTTTGAAATTCGGTTCTATATTTTTATGATCTCCGAAGTATGCTGTGAAACTAACATGAAGTGGCTCTGGTTTCTCGTTGCCCGAGAAAAAAATATTTATTAAGAAAAAGAAAAACATTTTATTTTCATTTTCTACTAAAGGTAATGATAGGGCCGAGAAAAAACAGCAGCGATAGACGGCATGACGAGTTCTCGGCTTCAGTGGCGTTCTACAGTGGCATTCCATTTTATAACATTCCGAGTGGCATTCTATTTTTTAATATTCCAAGGCAAACCACGCTAGAGTTTTTCCCCGCAAAGTATTTCATCGGGTAAATCAGACACAAGATGTGGGGTAAAAAAACTAACAAAAAGTGAAAAAGAAAAAAAATCTATGGGAATAGTTTAATATTAACACAAAAACACGCATCCTAAGCATGGCTAAAGTTCTTCATGTTAGATTTATTGCTTAAATTATGCAAATCGAAGGATCCTATTTTGTCTTCAAGTGGCCCAAAAAATCTCAATAAAACACAAGGTCCACTGCTCTTCAAAAGAATGAACATGAGATGAGGACTGGAATCCTTGCAAATTCAACCTGGAAGATCTTTTCATACTTGCACCTTTAATGCACAAACAGTTTTAAAGGAGTTACCAAATAGTTGTGATGGTACCCTGGCCATGGTGACTGGCATGCTTACAACACAATTACTGGCAAAACATTGTTACGGGTTTGAACCATATTAAAAAAAAAAGTTGCACCAACCTTGCGGGGGTACACTGTTGACTGTAGAGCGTGTTGAGAGAACCATTGGTGGACGACTGCTCATTCATCTTAGGCAGGACGTTATCCTCTGTTCCAACAAAGCAAAATCATCAGGGCACAATCCAGCTCCCAGTTGAATTTTAAAACAGCGGGCAGGAAAACGACAAACATTGACTGAACATATAAAATATTGAGGCACCTATGACCATAGTGCTGCATGAAAAATCTCCAGCCCAAACTTCAATGATCAGAGACCTGATCCCCTACTGGAGTGCTCTGCCAGAAAGACAATGGCTGCAGTACACTCAAGGAGATAAGACTGATAACTCCGTACGATTCAGGTACAATCATGCCTCATAAAAATAGCATCTAATCAATCGGAAGTGACGATCTGGAAGAAAAAAGAGGCAATTTCTTTCACTCTATAGGTCTGCTATTCTACAATCTTTATAAAAAGTTACAGCAGATATATAGGTAGTCTTCTTTACTTGAGAGTATAGTTCAAATCAGTAATAATATCTTTTTTTATTGAAAAGCACATACGATAAACCCTAACGTCTTCGCTCGTACTGGTCAATCCAAAATCGAAGAGTAGCGTGGTCAGCATGCACTCATAGTAAGTGTTTTTCCTTCAAGTGTGCCCAGGTAGAGTCTATGAACTTTACCCATGAAGTTAATTCACCAGAAAGTGCCAAAGTGTTTGCTCTGTAATGGCATGAAAAAAGATTGCTTGTATTATGAAATGGGGTCAAATGTTACTCTCCACTTGTTTGCAAATGACTGCTTGATATAGTAAAAGGTCTCTTGCCACAATGATCAGGTACAGTTAAACTCTTCCCTACAGCTGGTACAAGAGTGAAATAAGTAACAAAAAATGAAAATTAATTGCCACAAGACAGCATTCTTTGTAATAACTAGCAAGAAGAAAGACATCCTTCCGTTTGTGTACAAATTTTATAATCAAAGTCTGACCCAGTTCCCCAATTTAAATATCTTGGTGTTAAAATATCTCCCGACCAAAGGAACACGCACATGAATAATATTTACTCTACAGTCAGGAAGAGAGAGAGAGAGAGAGAAAACTTTATTTGTCAGTCAGATGGTGACCTTCTTCGGTTCCTTCAGCTGCTCCACATGGTCGGCAGTTGAAGTCTGTCGGCGACCTCTTGCGCTCTTGCCAAGGCCCGGGACTGGACGTCCAGGTCCGGGCTGGCCAGCACAGCTTCCCATTGCTCAAGTGAGGGAGATGAAACTAGATCTGCCGGAGGCGGATCCTTCGCGCAGTCCCAGATTATATGGTCTAAGGTGGCAGGCTCGCCGCATAGTTGACAGTACGGGTTTACTAGATCGGGAAAGATATTGGCGTATGTCCACGGGTTTGGCTGCGACCGCGTTTGCAGCCGCCGCCACGTGGTAGCCTGTTCTCGGCTGAGCGAAACGTGCGGAGGAGGCAGGCTCATTCTAAGCTCCCTGTAATAGTTGGTTATGGCCTGATACGTATCCAGTGCCTCACCTCGTGGGACCCCGACGTCCAAGTCCCCATCACCTGCTCGGCTGACAAAACCTCGAGCATATTGGTGAGCGGACTCGTTCCCCGGGACGCCCACGTGGGCCGGGACCCATACCAGATCCACTTCCTTCCTATCGTTTGGCATCGTGCTAAGAATTTTGTATGCTGTGGTGGAGATACGTCCCCTCGAGAAATTGCGAAGGGCCGTTTTGGAATCACTTAGAATGGTGTTGGTGCTCTTTTGAACAATCCCTAGTGCTATTGCGGCCTCTTCGGCCTCTTCCACTCGGCCCGTGATCACCGTGGCCGCTACCCTGCGCGAGATGCTCACCGCACTCACAGCGAAAGCATGTTGGCCTGTAGTAAGGTTGTATTCAGCCGCATCAACGTACACGGCACTATCGTCCCCTTGATACTTTTTGCTTAACGTCTTCGCCCTGGCCCTCCTCCGGCCTTCGTGACGACCCGCTTGCATGTTCTTGGGGAGAGGTTTGACACGAATGATTTCGCGCATCTCTACCGGTAAAGTCATCTGGCTTGAAGGATCTCCACTCCTCATGCCTAAGCTTCTCAGGATGCAGAGCCCCGTCTCAGTCTGCCTGAGCCGCCGCTCTTGCGATGTGAGATGTGCCTCAATGAGCTCTTCAAGAGTGTTGTGAACCCCGAGAGATAGAAGTCTCACGGTGGACGCGTTCCTGGGGAGACCAAGAGCCGCCTTGTACGCCTGCCTTATCAAACAATTCAGCTTTTCACTCTCGGCCTTCTTGAGGTCTAGGTAAGGAGTGGCGTACACGATCCGACTGATTACAAACGCCTGAACAAGCCGACATGCATCGCGCTCTTTCATGCCCTGTCGCCTAGTCGCCACGCGCTTAATGAGCCGTATAGTTTGCTGGACCGATGTCGTCAACCTGTCCAGCGTTACCTTGTTGCATCTGTTGGATTGTATGTACATCCCAAGCACTCGCATTGTGTCTACTTCCGGAATTTCGTTTCCCTGAATTTTCAACTGTATCCTGTTCGGCTTCGTTTTGCAGGCCCTTCCGTTATTACGGATAACTAGCAATTCCGACTTTTGTGGGGAGCATTCCAGTCCTGCCCAACGGGCGTGGGCGTCTACGATGTCCGCCGCCTCTTGTAGAGCCGTCTCGATTTGCCCGTCTGATCCCTGACTCGTCCAAATCGTGACGTCATCAGCATATAGTGTGTGTCTAGTACCCTCTATGCCGTTAAGCTTCCTAGGGAGCGTGATCAGCGCGGTGTTGAATAGAAAAGGGGATAACACCGACCCCTGTGGCGTACTCCTATTTCCCAGTGGTATGTGTGCCGACTTCAGATCCCCTATGGTGAGTTGAGCAGTCCTGTTAGACAAAAAATCCCTTATGTAGTCGTATGTATGGCGCCCTACGTTTAGTTCCGAGAGGTTGCAGAGTATCGCCTCATGCGAGACGTTATCAAATGCCTTCTTCAAATCCAACCCCAGGATGGCCCGCGTACCGTGGCCGTTTCCCGGGTCTACGATTTCCTTAGAAAGCTGTAGCATCACGTCCTGCGTGGACAGGTGCGGCCTAAAACCGATCATCGTGTATGGCATGAGGCGATGGGTTTCTACGTGGTTCTGTAAACGCGTGAGAATTACGTGCTCCATGAGCTTACCCAGGCACGACGTGAGGGAGATAGGTCGGAGGTTCTCGATGTCCAACTTCTTGCCAGGCTTTGGTATGAAAGTTACTTTGGCATGTTTCCATGCCGGCGGAATGTTCCCTCCCTTCCAGCACTTATTCATATAGTCTGTTAAAGCCTGGACCGAGTTGTCATCCAGATTTCTAAGGATTTTGTTATTTATTCCGTCCGGCCCCGCAGCCGATGTCGTCCGGAGTCTCTCCATCGCAGCCATCACTTCCGTGCCCTTGATGTCCGCATCTAGTGTCTCATTCTCCATTCCAGTGTACCCGGGGGCTCTAGTCCCATCTTGTGTCGTGTTAATGTATCTACCTTTCAAGTCCTCAAGTAGTTCTTCACCCGTCCCATCGTACTGATGTACTATCTGGTTCAGGCGTGTCCGAGCCGCGGATTTGGTCGTAGTCGGGTCTAGGAGGTGCCGCAGCAGAAACCACGATTTCTTATTTCCCAGTTGCCCGTTTATTCCGTCACATATCTGCCACCACTGTTGCCTGTTGAGTTCATTGGCGTGATCTTCAATCTCCCTTTCCAACCTGGAAATGCGGAGTCTGAGCTTCCTATTGTTTTTGCCCGTCTTCCACCTGCCCAGTAGGGACGTGTGAGCCTCCCACATGTGCATGAGGCGTTTGTCTACCGCCGGGTGTTCTTCGGTGGTGTCCACCTCCCCGGTGGCCCGCTCTGCGTCTCGCTTGAGATCGCTTATACAGGCGTCCAGGTTGGTAATACCGCCGTCTGCCCGCTTCTCCCTCGTGGTGCGGAATTTATCCCAGTCAGTAATTCTTACCGGGGGTGTTCTGCGTTTGTGTTGCGCCGTGTCGAAGGTAATAGAGACTACATAGTGGTCGCTGCCCAATGGCACTCCTGTATTAAGCCACTCTGCCCCCTGAACATTCCTCGTCAACATGAGGTCGGGGCTCGTATCTTTACTAACGCTATTGCCTATTCGAGTTGGTTGTTGTGCATCGTTTAATATTGTTAAGCCCAGGTCTTGAAAGATTTCCCAAAGCTTCGCACCCTTTGGATTTCCTTTAAGATATCCCCACGCCGGATGTCGCGCGTTAAAGTCCCCAGCGACGACAAGCTGTGCTCTGCCCGCTAGCTTTACCACTCGCCTGAGGAGGTCCGGGACGACCGAGCTCCTGTCCCTAGGAGAGCTGTATAAATTAAGGATGAAAAGGTTTCGTTCCCCCTTTTTACTGGGAATCACTTCTACTAGGGTGTAATCCGCCTTGGATCCTTCTATTTCATGCTGAATCGCTGTGATATTACTGTGAACTAGGGTTGCGGTGAGCAAATCCCGCTTCTTCACTACGTCTAATTGATGGTGTGTTTTATAGTTGGCTAGAGAAACAAGCCCCCTATTCTCCTGCAGCGCTATAATGTCGGGCTTCGCCTCGACATTTTGGATGTGCAGGTGCAGGTGGCCCTTCTTCTTTCCAAACCCCCTGCAGTTCCACTGCCACACCCTAATTTGTTGTTCGCGTTGATTGTTGCGCGCCATCCTGAATTTCTAGTCTCTGACAAATAAGCTGCGTGAGCTCATCGAATCTTCCGTTCATGTACACAAATAAGTGCTCCATTTTAGTCTCTAGGGCGGTGATCCTAACGTCTTGAGCGTCCATGCGTTCCTTCAGCTGCGTTAAGAGTTCTGATCTAGCCGTCAAAGTGGGCCTGCCCTCCTCCAAGGGAACTTGCCTCCTCTTCGGCTCGCTCCGCTCAACCTCCTCCTTGTTTTCGGAAGGGGCTTGCCTTTTTAGCGTATTCACCGTTTCGGTGTCCATCGCGTTCTGAGTTCTACCCTTGGCGCCACCCTGCATCCCCATCGTGGGGGCTGCGGCCTCTATCGCTTTTAGTGCTACCGCTGGCGAGTCTGCCACAAGTTTCTCGCTCGCTTT